AAAGCGCTTAGATCATCATTGTCAGGGATGGCCAAAAGGATGGCAAGACCTTTGCCCAAACCAAGGGTGTATGTACCTTGGCATTGTTAGTGAAAGTCAAGCTGCAGCTTTTGAAAGCTACATTGATGCAGCCTGTATAGGCTTTCAGTCTTGAGCTTGTACAAGCTGTTGCCATGGGACCTGATGTACATGATACTTACTTCATGATCTAAATACATGATCATTATCACAAGTAAAGATATGTGTTAGTCAAAAGTTATATCAAAACCATATCTGGTAATGATGGGACCAGTCAAAAATTTGCCAGGTACCACCTACACCAAAGGTGGCCCCTCAACCTCGCCCTTTTCGTCGAACCTGCAGTACCACCCAGACCTGCAGCTGAACCTTCGCAAGCTGTGCACCCTGGTGGACCCGACATTCCAATGGCAGCGCCTCCAGATGGACAGCCTGAGAAAAAGCGCGAAATTGGTCAACTTGTCACTGACAAAGGTGTGGATCCAAAGCTGCTGGTGCAGCCAAAGAAGGAAGCGGTTGAATTGAAAGAAGGGTGGGATGATGAGACAAAGGCCTACTGGGAGAAGGGTCAGGAAATTGAAGGACTTTGGTGGTTCTATGGGAAGATTGAAGGAAAAGGTGTCACGGTTGCATTGAATGATGAGTTTGTTACTTTTCACTGTTTGCACCTCACTCATGTTTGTATTTTTTGTTGTCACTTGCTTTTTGTGAATGAACTTTGTTAAAACCTGGCATCTAAGGCTACCGATTCTGGAACTCCTGGAGGTGGCTGGCTGAACAAAGCAGCTGCTTTGCGCCACATGTACAAGACCAAAAACAAAGGCCTCCTGGAGAAGCACCTGCACAGGTTGGCAACCCGTAAGAGGGAAGAATATGTATAATGGGTCGTCAGCTAATCTGTTCCTTAATGATTTTGATGAATTAAACACATTGACCAAATTAGATAAATAAAATGAATTAAACATATGATTTAAGAACTGAAAAATTAAAAAGATTGAATAGATTAAAAAAAATGAAATAGATTAAATGAATTAAATGATATGAATAACTTAATTCCTCCAAAATCCGTGGACTTGCAATTATTTAAATGAGTTAAATGAATTAAATGATTTAAAAAAATACTTTACTTCGTGTGATCCCCACCATGACATTTATACATTTTCTTACTGGCAAATCTTCTGGCATTCTATCTGACATATCTTCTGACATTCTATTTGGCGTTCTATCTGGCATATCTTCTGGCATATGATCTGGCATATCTTCTGGCATATCTTCTGGCATTCTATCTGGCATTCTATCTGGCAAATCTTCTGCCATTCTATCTGGCATACTTCTGGCACTCTATCTGACATATCTTCTGGCATTCAATCTGGCATTCTATCTGGCATATCTATCTGGCATATCTTCTGGCATATTTTCTGGCATTCTATCTGGCAAATCTTCTGGCATTCTATCTGGCATTCTATCTGGCATATCTTCTGGCATATTATCTGGCATTCTATCTGGCATATCTTCTGGCATATATTCTGACATATCTTCTGGCATTCTATCTGGCATTCTATCTGGCATTCTATTTGGCATTCTATTTGGCATTCTATCTGGCATATCTTCTGGCATATCTTCTGACATTCTTTCTGACATTCTTTCTAACTTTCTTCTGCACATTCTTTGTCCCATATCTTCCTACATGAGGTCCGGCAGGGAACACTTGGCATGGATACCCGCGGTTGAGGTCCGGCAGGGAACACTTGGCATGGATACTCGCAGATGAGGTCCCGCAGGGAACACTGGGCGTGGCTGGTCGTGGTTGAGGTCCGGCAGGGAACACTGGGCGTGGCTGGTCGTGGTTGAGGTCCGGCAGGGAACACTGGTCGTGGATGGTCGTGGTTGAGGTCCGGCAGCGAAGACTGTGGATCGCGGGTCGCAGTTGGACGAGGACGACGAGGACGACAAGGACGACAAGGAGGACGAGGAGGAGGCAGGAGGCAGGACGAGGCAGGAGGCGGCAGGAGGAGGAGGCAACTGACATAAAATCTAACAACCCTCACCTGGCAGGTGGGGAATTCAATTCCTCCAAAATCCCTAGACTTACAAGTATTTAAATTATTTAATTCAGTGAATTCAGTTAAATGATTGCAACTCTAGGGATCTTGGAGGAATGACATTATTTAATTCATTTAAATCGTTTCATTCATATAATTCCTTTAATGATTTAAATGAATTAAACGAATTAAATGGAAAATGAAAAGCATTTGTTGAATCATTTAATTCATTTAACTATTTAAATTAATTAAATGAATTCAATGGAAAATGGATTTTTTTTTTAAATCATTCAATTCATTTCATTATTTAAATGAATTAAATGAATGAAATGGAAAATGAAAAGTTTTTTTAAGATCATTTAATGCATTTAATCTTGCGTGTTCTGGGTGGCTTCTGCTTACAGGCTTTCCTCTTTCTGGATGCAGGTACCTCAACGCAAAGAGGTGCAAATCAGTGAGTCTGCAACCCACCAGCATACACTTACCCTTTCCAACAATCTGCATGTCGCGAGGCATCATTGATAACAAACAGATCAAATGTTGCAACTTGAACTATATCATACTCCGTTTTTACCAGAACCATCTAAATCTACACTGATCAAATCATCTAATTCCATCTGATTCGAAATCTATTGTCAATGTTTGCGAAGTTTTCTACTGCATGTCTTGGCCAGTTGCATTCAGTTGAATGGTTTTGCCAAGTGTGTCATAAACTAAGGGGGGGTGAAAGTACTAATCCCCTTTGGGGAGAACCTGAGAGCCTTGGATCGAAATAACCCTTGTGTCCCTATACTAGCAACGAAGTGGCTTCAACTGCGTCGACACTGACTGAAACTGCTGTGGCTGCGAGTGTGAACGAGCAGCGTCTTTTTGCAAGCGAAGCTACAAGTAAGTCTTGAGCCATGATGTCCACGGCATCATGAAATAATGTACATACAACAGAATATGCAATGCTATGAACAGTGGAAACTGGCTGCATGAACATGAACTAAACTACATTGCGTAAGCACACATATGAACAGAGGAAAACATCTACAAAACAAACGCAACTTTTCTTTGCGCTGAAGCAAGTTGGAAAAAGAAAACTCATGCTCTCTATTGGAGCTTGCGGTGTAGCTACGGCACAATGCATGACAATTCAGTCAGAGGCCTGCCATGTGGGACTTCGCGCATGGGCGTGTTTTACTCCCTTCATTGATTTGCACCTCATAAACCGTGATATCGGTATAGCAAAAATTGAGTGTCTTTGGACCTATCTTCTAAAAACGTTCCAAGGGGCACAGATCCAACCGTTCCAGCTGTCCCAAACATAACGTCCGGTTCGGTACTGGCGATCACCCTTGCCACTGCGCCGATTCGCTGGATCATTTGCTGGCCAAAAATCGGTCCATGAAGGGCTCCGATCACGAGATGAACTTGTCTCTCTTCTTCTGCGGTTCGCCGGAGGCGGGTTCGGGGGAGTCCGTGGTGTTGGAACTGCTGTTCTGGTATACTCGTGAAATCGAGATTGGCCTTTTCCTTTGCCTCCTGATCTTGGCGCTCGTGGTATCGAGACTTGCCTTTTCCCTTGGCGGCTCGTCCTTTTGACTTGCCCTTTCATGGTTGCTCGTAAAAACGAGACTCATCGTCCTGGACTTGTCGGCGACTCTGGCGGGCAGTTGACCTGATGCGGTGGTTTTTGGGTGCTCTCTGAACACCCACGGCGAATGCCAATCTGTGTCAGTATCTGCCAAGCCGATGTCGCAATTGATCAAATACTTTGGACGCTCTTTGTCCGACAGGATGGTTTCGTCCGTGCAGTATTTTTCGACGGCAATGTGAGATCGTTGCTCACGTTCCTGAAGGACTGCCACCTGTTTGCCGTAGCAAAGGGAAAATACGCCCATCATGCAGTCGCAGTCCGCTTGGTAGTGTTTCTGGGCCTTGACCCACTCGACATGCTGCGTCGATGAAACCACCTGATAGGTGATTGCGTCTTGTTCCCACCGGTCGTTGTTCAACGTTCCGATGATCCTCCCAAGGAGGTCAATGATGATGCAGGTGTTGAAGTCAGAAGACGAATCGTGGCGGAAATTGCGCTGCGCGAACAAGTTTCCGTCTGCAGTGATATAGTCCACTGAGGCGCTGCTTGTTTTGTTAACCAGTTTTGACCATTAAGATGTTAACTAAACCAGTAATAACTCCTTAGTAAAGCCTAGAACTTGTTATAAAAACTTATAATGTGTTATAACTCTTCTACTTGATGTTAAAATTTTATGTGTTATCAATATTATGTAATTTTTGTTAACTTTTATGCTAATATGCATAACAGTCAAAAGATTTAAATGGAATTAAGGCATTTATTTTTTGGAGGGGGAACCCAGGAAACTCATGCTTTGAGGTAGTACATGAAAGGAAAAGCAAGAAGGAAGATATATTTGCAAGCCCTTGGTTCTTGGGAAAAAGTTGGCAATGTTTTCAATTGCCAAATGTGGAAAGCAAGCTTTTGAGTTTTTTCTTGGACGTGTTCCAAGGACCATGCTATCAGCATGTATTGGCTTCAAGTATCCATTTTTGTTATGCAAATTGCATTTCCAGCCCACACCAGCTTGAAGCCGGTACAAGCTTCAGGTCCGAGCCAATGAAGGCTCCAGCTGGAAGCCAGTACAGGCTCCAGTTTCAAGCCAACACAGGCTTCAGTTTTAAGCCAAAACAGGCTTCAGCTTCAAGCCACTACAGGCATGGTTAACCAACCTTGCTTTCAGCTCTTCAAAAACTTGATGGTGTGCATTGTGTGAGTGGCCCAAGCCAAGTGAATTCACATGGTTTGGGCTTGTTGTGGCACATGCCACAAGCAATGACATACCATGGTGAATGTTTCAGATGGTTTCAGCCACAAAGACACAATTCGAGTCAACTGCACAACCACACAAGGCAACATTCTTTGCAGAGAACTGAGCCATGGCTGCTTCTTGGGTGAGCCTTTTGAAAGATGTGGTGGGCAATGTGTCGATGCCCATCAATCAGAAGGCTAGCAAAGTCATGGCAATTTTGAAGGAAGTTGGGCTTGCTTGGACTGCCGAGCTGAGACCCAGGGACTTGTTGGTCCACCCAAGCAACAGAGGAGGTCAGATGGTCAATGGGTTCGATGTTGCAGCCAAAGGGCAGGCTATATGTGCTGTTGGTTGGGACATCAACAAAATCAAGGAGCCTGTCTGTTTTGAGCTGCCTTTTGATGCTTCGAAGAAAGCAGCCATTGTCGAAGCCAACACCAAGCTTGCTGATCAAAGCATTGGGTTGCTTGCCAGGCCTTTTGGAAAGGAAAGACATTCCAGCATCAGTGGATACCACACAACTTGCTTTCTGAGAGCTTTGGAACAAGGGTGTACTTTTGGCGGTGAGCAGCTGTCCTTGGAACAATTGCAAGCCAAAGGAGATGACATTGGGCAGCTTCTTCAAGATGGTTGGGAATGGACCATCCTTTCTGCCAAAGTGGAAGAGGAGGTTCCAAGCTTGCCTTCTTTGCTCCAGCAAGCCTACGACAGCCACTTGGTAAAAAAGAAACCTTGTGCAAGCCAAGCAAGGTTGGTTTGGGGTTTAAAAGTTTTTCTTTTGTAAGTTGCAGCAACTCAGGCGACCATGGTATTTTGAAGCCTCCTACTGAATTGGAAATGATGATGACCATTGCCCAAACCTATGAGTTGCAGCTTCAAGGCCAAAAGGATTTGAAGACAGCCGTTGCTCAGGCAGCTTCCAGCATGCCTCCTTGCAAGGGCTACATCAAGAGCATTGGTGACTTTGTGGGCAGCGTTGCAGGCGGTGAAACCTTCAAGCTTCTGAAGTATTTGGACTTTGTGGGTGCCTTGGCAGCATGGATAAGCACAGAGGAGGCTCAGTTTTCCAGTAGCTTCTCTAAGCTGTTGTTTAGCTCTTGCAAGCTCAATTTCCAGAGCTTGTGCAAGCTTTTGCATTTAGCTTTTACAAGCTTGTGGTCCCAAAGCTTGTGCAAGCTGCAACTTTGCTTTTCATTTTCTCCAGCTGAGGCAGATCCTATGGTGCAAGTGTTTTGGTGGGAGAAGAGTTCTGCAACCTGGTGGCTTACACTGATTGGATGATTGGCAGCACAACTTGGCCCTTCCTTCGAGTAGGCTTGTGTGCCACCCAGGTGACAGCCCCTACTGCTGCTGTCAAGGATGGTGTCTCTCAAATGGTGAACAGATCTGACTTTGACAAGTTGAAGCAGAAGAAGATGAGCACTGATGTTGTGAAAGCAGAGCAGCTGATGGCAGTGGCTTGGAACACTTTGGATAATGATTGAGTTGACATTTGAAACCAAGGGAAAGCTGTTTGGCAAACGCCAGCTTAGATTGGTGTTGCATCTGCTTGGCAAAGAGCTGAGAGGAAGAGAGGCTGTGCAATATGATGACATGGATGCAATTGCCAAGAAGTTTCAAGATGATGTGAAAGGACGCAGTGGCTCTGCTTCTACTCCAGGCAGCTCTGCTGAAAAAATGCAGAGCCAGTGAAATCCTTGGAGGATGCAACTGATCCCAGGGCCATTGCATTGACTGCCAACAAGCACATCAAGCTGGATAAGCTGTATGTGCTCAAGAAGGACCAGGCCAAGGTTTGGAAGCTGGTGGCTTTGACTGACACCATGGCCAACTTGGTTCACAAACCTTTTTTTGGGCCAGAAGAGCATCAGGATGTGATGCACAGTGAACTCAAAGATTGGAAAGAAGGGAAGAAAGATGGGCCCCAGCTTGTGGACCAGGCCTTGGTGGAGAAGCTGTCGCCCAGTGCATCACTGACTTTAACAGCGGAGCTTCAGAGGTGCAAAGCTCAATGTGCACTGTTTGAGAAGCATTCTGAGCCACTTGGCTTGTTAAAGTTGTTAAAACATTGGGTGTGCATAGTGTGCCTTTGTTTTGACACTTTTGAACACCTTTGTTCAGCTTCTGCTTGGGGATCCACAGCTTGCGGTGAGCAACCACAACCAAGTCTTCACTGCTGGTAAAGTCACCAAGGGCAAGCTGGTTCTCCTTCCCATTGGCACTTTGCAGCTCTTGCCCATGGACAAGATCCAGAAGCACCATTGCATCATTAGGTGCAAAGACTTGGACAAGCAAGTCTTCTTGGCGCAGGCCTTCAAGTGTGACTTTGTGAAGGAAACTGGTCTTTTTTGTCCACATTGGATGGTCAAGCCAGGAAGCTCTGTAGATGAGTCGCCACTTGCAAAGCAAGTGTTTAATCAAAGCAATTTGCATATCCCTGCTTTGGTGAACAAGAAACAAGTGGAGAAGCACACCCTGTTGCAAGCTGAACCTGAAGAAGAGCAAAGCTCTGGAACTAAGAAGAAGAAGTCAGGGTAGAAGTGCTCTGGGCTGTATAGAGATTGCGCTGCAACACCATCGCTGCTGAGCTTGCAAAATGCCTCAAGCAACCTTGCTGCCCAGCTAGTATAAGCTTTTCACAGCCGGTCAAGGCTCCTTACAACACCATGGCTGTGGAGCTTGCAAAATGCCTGAAGCAACCTTGCTGCCCAGCTAGTATAAGCTTGTCACAGCTTGTCAAAGCTCCTTACATTGGATTAGCTTTTTCAAGCTGCTGCTTTCATTGGCTTAGTGGGCCATTTCTTGGGCGCTGCTTTTAGGCTCCAGCCAGCTGCTTGCGCTTAGCAGCAATGCAAGTTTCTGGAGTAGTTGCTTTGCAGTACAAAGATGGGCCTCAGATTTTCATCCCCTCCACTCTGCTCCAAACAGATTCCGATGGGCAAAGGTGGTTGAAACTGAGAGCCAGCAGTGTCACCATTGCAAAGCTTGTGCTTGGCCACATGGAGAAATTCAAGAAGGCCACCGATGGGTTGTCAAGCTGCTTCTTCACCATGGTCACCATGGGAAGCTGTCAGGCCGAGTCATGGGGGTTCACCTGTTACTGCTCTGATCGAAGTTCATGGGTATCCCTGATGGCAAAATTGGAACCGAACCAGCGGATGCCTCCATGTTGAGATCGCCTCAACCGATTGGTTGGAGTCGTGTCTGTGGGAGATGCCCCAAGTGTTCGTAACATGAACCAAACCCACTACCTTGTCTATCCAATGAGGGACCGCCTGATGAATAGGGAATATTGTGTGCATCTTGCATATCATTATGGTACACATGTCATGATAGAATATTATGTACATAGCATATGTACATAGAATATCATATGTAATGTATATATATATATATGTAAATAGCGATATAGCGATACACATGGTGGCCATACTTCCCACATCATCTTCCCATCGGCGCCTCTGTGCCTCGGATATCTGGCACCTGGCGGGGTGACGTGCATCCCAGGTCTCGATTTACCAACATTTGGCCAGAGGTAAATGGCTTGGTAAATATACATGATCATGGTTGAAATACGTTGAACATGTTGGATCTGGTAGTTCCAATTTCATGATCAATATCGATGTTTCGTTGCTTTGGGGAAAGCATGTTCAAAGGAAATCCTGCTTTATTGGTTGCCTCGCCGCGAGAATCGTAACGTTTTCGAAAAAAAACAAATGGCCATTCATGTACTGCCACTATACTGTTGCTTGCCTTTCATGATGATATGCTGTTTGTCAATGTCACATCTCGAGCCGCCAGAGATCGACGTGCCTTCACTTTGTTGTTCCTGTACCACCTGAGAGCTCGGCGGTGTGACGAAAAACGCTGGTCATCAATGGAATTTAATGGATATGTAGTGAGAATCTGAGGTTCAGGGTATGGTTTATGTGGGTAGTGGGTACTCTCTCTCTCTGGTCATCTACAAACTCAGATGTTTTGGGCTATGGTTTACGCAATTCACCCGCTACCTCAACAAGAGATGTGCAGAGATGCAAACCACGCCGATCATCTACGGCCCTTGAGAGCCCTGCCTGATCATCGTGGCTATATCCGGCAGTCAACCGAATAGATTTGCTTTATTTCTTTCGGACAAATGGTGTACCATTGAATTCAATGCAACTTTTGGCCATGACAAACGCAGCGGCTTCCTGGTCCGCCTTCCCGGCCACAGCCCATGCCCCACCCAGCGCCTGCCCTCTTGTGGTGGAGTGAAGATCAAGGTCGGAAAAGGATCCAACACCTGAAACCGCGGTCATGCCATGTCTTGCTCCACCCTAGACTGAGTGGATCGATTGTGAAGATGAGAATGGACCATGGTCGAAAATGGTTGGAAGTACGAGGAAGGACGGGCGATGATTGTTAACGGCCCAGTATTTGATGATGGGCCCAGGCAGTGTTCAATCCGAAACACAAAAAAAAGCCCTGCCGGTGAGCGGAACATACCAGAACCAGTTCTCAAGACAGTCCAACGTGAGTTCTCTCAAGCATTTTGGGGTTCATTCCATGGAGATCCATCGGAATCTCACCAGCAAATGGTGAAGATAGAACATGCTGCATTTGCAATTGGACCTGTGGTTCATTATGGGAATAGCGAGTGCTTGACCCCAATATATGTTCTGTAAATTGGCTTTTGTTTTGAGCATTGCGGATCTTTTAGTTGGGAAAAAAACAAGTCCCATCAGCCAAGATCAAGGAGAGGAACCGTTTTTGACGGACTAGGAACCCGTGTGGGAGAATGATCAACAACATCGTTTTTTTCCGACATATGGCCAAGATGACACAGTATATCCAATTCTGATGGCATCGAACTTATCCAACCATATCCAACCTATCTCTCACCATTGGTTCATGGGAAATTTTGCAGAAAAGGCCCATTTCAGATGGTAAAAACCTGGGTTTCCTGCAAATTTTCCTTAGGAACCCGACGTTCTTCACCGTTGTTTAATTTTGAACGCGGTTCCACACTTGTCTAATTGTGTTTGTAAATATTGTGAAAGGTACTGCAGAATAATTTTTTCACTTAAGAACGAAATGTGTCACAACGTGAAGAACGCTGGTTTCCCAAAATTAGGAACCCGCAGTTCACCAGTTGTCTAATTTTGAACGACGTGTTCCCAAAATTAGGAACCCGCAGTTCCACAGCTGTTTAGTTTTCAACGCCAGGTTCCCAAAATTAGGAACCCGCAGTTCCACACTTGTAAGAAGTCAATTCCTTCACTGTTGAACACAATGTGTCACAACGTGAAGACTGCCGGGCTTCCAACATCAGGAACCCGCAGTGCCACAGTTGTCTAATTTTTTAAAGGCGGTTGCACACTTGTCTGATTCGAGTGTATTTCATTTCGGAACATGGTATGTGCGTTGGGTTTCCTAGCAGGATTCAACACATGTGGAACCGCGGCTTCCGAATTTTGGGAACCCGGGGTTCAAAATTAGACAACTGTGGAACTGCGGGTTCCTAATTTTAGGAACCCGACGTTCTTAATGTTGTGACACATTGTGTTCTGCAGTGAAAGAAATTACTTCTGACAATATTCTCCAACAGAATTGAACACATGCGCAACCGTGGCTTACAGCACCCAGCACCGGCCGACCGCACCTGCTAGCAGCACCTGCTGACAGCACCTGCCAGCAGCACCTGCCAGCACCCGCCCAAAGCACCAGCACCTGCCACCACCCCCTCCTACAACAGCATTTGCAAACAGCACCCACCAGCAGCAGCACCTGCCAGCGGCACCTGCCAACAGCACCTGCCAACGGCACCTTGCCAGCAGCGCTTGGCAGCAGCACCTGGCAGCAGCACCTGCTAGCAGCGCGCGCCAACCGCGCCTGCCAGCAGCACATAGCAGCAGCACCTGCCAACAGCATTTGCGCCGACACCCGGTCAGAGCACCTGTCAACAGCAACTGCTTCTTCCAACAAATTTGCCCCGACACCTGGTTAGAGCACCTGCCAACCGCACCTGCCAACCGCACCTGCCAACAGCACCCGCGTTGGAGATCCGCAACCAAAAAGTTCGCCGACAGAGACCCATTCTTTTGGAAGTAAGAACCCCTATAGCTTCCAGCCATCTGGGGAATGAGGTTGCTTGAATTGCTTCCCTGAAGCTGGAAAAAAAACTCTTTACTTCAAATGCCGTTTCAACAAAACCAATGGGCTTGACAAACTCACATTGATGGTTGTCATGTTGAGTTGTCACATGGGCGAACCATTTTTCCCTACCGGTTGAACATGTCAAACGTCATGAAATCCCGTGATCCAAACTGGAAGACCCAAGCAACAAACAATCATTGGATTCAATCCATCCCAGAACAAATGTCCATCACCGTGACTGTTCACTCCTAACCTCAGAGACCCCCACCTCTGCATGTAGCACTCTTCTAAATACGGTGGAAATTCATTCGAAACCACCAAGCAACTAAATTCCATTTGCATTCCACTGCAATCATAGTAGTATTTCAAAGCGACCCGTCTCGCCTGATGGGCATGCCTGGAAACACCAAAGCTGCCGGAAGCCTGCGACGGGTTCAACGGATGGGAGGCTGAGAGATGCTAAACAAATTTGGAAGCATACGGTCACATGGGTTCGTCATTGCCAATGCTTCCTCATGGCTGGTAAGAATCGTTATCCGTAGATACTGGTTACCAATTTCAACTCAGATCTCTAAAACCTCTGGTCATCTGAACCAAATTGAGCAACAAAACAATTCACCACTCAGTACCTTTCAACCGTGCGTTGGCAAAAAACGTGGTTGGCATCTAACGTCATTCCCAACCTTTGAGTGGGTGAGAACCGATACACCCCCACCAGCGAGACATCCAACAAAAGAATAGTCTTCCAACCAAGGAAGGTGTATCCATGGCGGGCTTTCATCAAACAACGACCCATTCTTTTAGCAATGTGCTTTTGTATTCCAGCGGTATCTGTACATGAAACACTGCAATACACATTTCTAGAGCGCAATAAATGCTTTGAGTTCCGCACACAGAATTAGCTTAAGGCGTGCATGACTAGATATCCAACCATCCTATCAACTAACTCAAAATGCATAGAAAAACAAACAAACAAACAAACAAACAGTTAATTGGACCAAGTTATTTGGTCTTAATTCTTGGTGGCCATCCTTCCAACTGATTATCCATGAAAACTAACAAGCAACATTGGTAACCAATCATCTCAAACCTGTCAATAACGCTTTTGCAAAAAAACGCAAAAAATGTCCTGCCAAGTAGTTGCTCTGCCTCGAAATGTGCCTATGGTTGAGCGCCATGGTACCAACAAGAATCCAAACAAACGGAGGGGAAACGACACGAGATGGAAACAAGATACAGTAGCATAGAGTAGCCTACAGCAACAACAATGGCCATACATGATTATGCATGACTATAAGATGAAACCACCTCCAAGACTGGTCAATTTTCGTTTTGGATCATAGCCATCGATCCGTCACCTGTCACATATCTGTCACCCACCTTGAGGTCATGCAGCTGTTCCTCAATGAGATGAAGATGTCCCAGCTGATGCACTGCCCTGGGAGCGTCATTCTGGGATGACCCGCGGGTGCTGCACGGATGAGATGGTGGTTGGTGCGAATGAGAAGAGATGGCGTTCAAAGGGTGGACATGAAATGATGGCTTCGCCTCATGGTTTTCTTTCAATCCATAATTACTGGATGGTTTATCAATCATTGCTTGTTCATGATGGTTCATGGCTGGTAGCGTTATGAGAATTTCTGCCAGCCAACTTCTGGAAATCTCTGATTTTTTATTTTTTCATTTCATCATCATTTGGGTTTTCATTTTTTCATTTTATTTTCATTAAATTATCATCTCTGATATCATCATCATGTTTTTTCATTTTGTTTTCATGAAGTTGTCATCTCTGATATCATCATTATTTCACTTGCATTCCAGATCTAGCAGCTAGCAACTTTAAAGACACAACATCCTACCCTTACAGTACATCTTCTCAAGACACGTATGAGATCTACATACTCAACTTCAATTGCCCCTTCCGGTGTCAGAGTAGGTGTGTAGTCGGTACGGCACTGCATGGCATTGATGAGCAGCCCACATGCTGCGACAGTGTGCCGTTGCGGCCCTAGTGGCTAGACTGATTGCTTCTGAGATCTGAGTAAGACATGTTGTTTCCTACTTATTGCTTGAAAGTATCACAGTGAAAGTCTGAGTCGAAGCAGTCAAAAGCACTCAAAGCCACCTGTGCTTCAAAAACAAAACCTGGGGCTGGGTTGGGGTGGCTGGCCTCGGCTGGGGCACGTCTGAGTCCAAAAATCGGAAAAATTGGTTTTTCCTCTAGTTTTTTTCATTTTTTTCATTTTTTCATTTTTTTATCATTTTTTATCATTTGTTTTATCATTTATCGTTTTTTTATTATTTTTTTATCATTTGGGCTTCATGTTTTCATTTTGGTCATCATTTTTTATCATTTATCCATTTTTTTTATCATTCTTTTATCATTCGGGCTTCATGTGTTCATTTTGGTTATCATTTTTTATCATTCTGGCTTCACTTGGCGCGACATTGTGGCCCTGGATTTAAAAGTTTCTCTCTGGACAAGACCCTGGGCCCTAGGCTATTGAACGCTGTTGTGTTTGAACGTCGTCTTGAAGAGAGTAGCTGATTAATTAATCATAGAAAATAATAACCATATATAACTCAACTCAACAGAACTGCTGTTGTATTGACCATGGAAGTACGAGTAGATGGACCTTGAAAGAAACTTCAGCAGTGAAGCATGCATGCTGAGATTGCTGCTTCAAATGAAAATTAAATGATAATGATTTTGAAGATGATAAATATATGATAAATAAATGTAAATATAATGATAACCAAAATGATAAATTAATGAAAAAATAAATACCCGGCCCCTCCCCAGTCTGTTGCTCACATATTCTCATAATGGTAGCGGGTTGGCAACGGTAACTGATTGGTCAATGATCAAGAGGCTCTATAGAAACATCCAAAAGTTCCTATAGGTTTTATATTTTGGAACCTCCCGCCACCGTCTTGTGCGGTTCACATGTTACCCATCATCAACAATGTATAACCCGTTAACCATGATCCATGGCTGTGCATCCACCTCTTGACTAGGGCCACCCACTCTTGGCTCGTGCCAGCGGCAGTAGCCGCTGGCCTTCGCCGGCTGCTTGCCGCAAAACACGCAATTGTGTTTGACACGGTCCTTCGGATAGGGGCAAAACCCAGGGGGTTGACCAAAACGAATTTTGCGGTAGGCAGGTTTGACGAAGCCAAAACGAACTTTGTCGAAGGGGGGGAGGCTTTGTCGAAGTGGCAAGGGCTTGTCGAAGGGGAGGGGGGTTATAGGCGAGCTTAGTTTAAGGCAATCTGCGCACTATTCTGCATACTCCCTTCGTTTTGCCCTGATCGGATGCAGGTGATGGAAGAACGGGAAAATAAGTAATGTCAACGCAGGATTTGAAAATCCACCCGGGTTAGTCAACATCCGCACAACTGGCCAGATTTGAGCAATACTACTTGCCGTGTGGTTGATTTCCCCCCTAGTTCATGAAATCCCCCCAATTAGTAAAACACCAGCCCGAGTCCGGCACGTTGCAATGCCGAAGCCTGTTGATTTTCAATTAACAGCAATCTCAATGCTGGCAAGGAACCCCCGAGGGTTTGTCACTGTTTTTGTCCTGTTCATTCATGTTCCCTTGGTGTTCCTTCAGTTTTGCCCTTATCATTGGCTTTTGGTTGGTGTTCGTTTTGTTGGTATGCTGGACATGTTTTCAAAATTGATCATGTTTTCCTAATTGATCATTGCTTTCGCTATTTTCATGTGGTTTGTGTTGTTTCTATGGTTTTCGGGCCTTTTTATCATATTCGTTTGTTTTAATTAATCTTGATTGGTGGTTGCTGTTGTTTTTCGTTAACCATGAATTTCCAGGTGTGCCCTGGGTGTTCCCATTTTGTAGACAATAGATTCACTTTGGGGTGGTGCAACCCTCTGTAAAATGGTGGACAAGGGACCGCATCCAAACCATGGATTTTTAGGCGAGGACATTCTCTGACGCTTACACAGCTTCACCCCCTGAGGCCCATTCTAAAGAGAATGGGTCTCCATAAAATGCAGGGTTAAACGGGGGCCCAGGGTCCACAATTCTAATAGATGAGCGAGCTATAAGCCGTCAAAAACTAATCGGCAATCCGGCCTATGGCTGCGGATTAGCTATGATCATCTGAGACTATAGAGAAAACTGAAAGCGGGATCCATTTCACTTACAGTACACAATTCCTTGTCAGTTCAAACAGATTCAAAATCAGGTCCTGGCCAAGAATTTTCATGGGCTTCCCATGACGTTTGTCACATGCAGTCCTGTTTTCTTGATAAGTTCGTTTTCTTTGCAAACTTCTTGATGTTGTTCCTTGATTGTCGCTGACTTGTTTTGTCTTAATTCATTGGTATATCTTACTTTTTTGTCATTGGCTTTTGGTTGGTCTTATTTGCTCATGTTGTAAGTCTCATTGGTGTTCATTGTTGTTATGTTGATTAGTTTTCCTTGGAGTTCTTTGTCTTTGCCGTTGTTATTTCTTTCTTTCCGTTTTTTCTGCCCTACTTGCATTCACAATTGAATTAGCAGTATGCACATGGAAACCATTGGAAAACCTTTTGTATGCACCCTTCATACAATGTATTTTTCTTTTATTGCTATAAGCTGGAAATCATGACGACTTTTCATGACCTAGTCTCTAAATTGAGAATGGCACCCCAGTTAGTGCACCTCTAAAACGCTTTATCTATAAACTGGTGGCCTGCCCAAGATACACATTTGTTCAAAAAACACGATCAAAAACTTCCCCAGTCTGTAAAATGGAACGGCTTGAACATTTTTGGAATGGGCACCTAAGAAGCGGGGATGTTTAGAAAACGGAAACATTTCCCATCCGACAGAGTCTATGTTCCAAACAGGATATGAGCCTACTCATAAAATGGTGGAAGCCTACTCATATCTGTTACAACGGGTAATGTTCTACAAAAAGGTGACACACCTCTTGAATCAGCCGCGCTCGATTTCATGTTGGGCCCACTGGGAAATTGTGATACATAAGGGTCCACTAGGAAATGGTCGACGTTAGCTCATTTGTAAGTTAGGTTTTTGAGTTAGACATGGTTGCACCGACAAGATCCTTGTAAAAAAAAGCGCCACTTCCGCGACATGGGCACGACCCCACAAGTCAAGAGCGTAACATCACTGACGTCTTAACATAAAACCGAAGCAAGTCAAGAGCGTAGCATCACTGACGTCTTTAACATAAAACCGAAGAAAGCCTAAAACCGAAGAAAGTCAAGAGCGTAACATCACTGACGTCTTAACATAAAACCGAAGAAAGTCAAGAGCGTAACATCACTGACGTCTTAACATAAACCGAAGAAAGTCAAGAGCGTAACATCACTGACGTCTTTAACATAAAACCGAAGAAAGTCAAGAGCGTAACTTCACTGACGTCTTAACCTAAAACCGAAGAAAGTCAAGAGCGTAACATCACTGACGTGTTAACCTAAAACCGAAGAAAGTCAAGAGCGTAACATCACTGACGTGTTAACATAAACCGAAGAAAGTCAAAAGCGTAACATCATTGGACGGGAACGAAAGGACGTTATTATGCCCCCACCCCCACCCCCACCCCCACAAATAAAGGAAGCGGCGTCACAACCATAAGATCTAGAGAAGAAAGGCAAGAGCGTATCATCATTGACGTATTCACATCTAGAGACGAAGTCATCAAAGTAGCACCATCGACGTAATAAAATAAAGAGAAGAAAGGCAAGAACGTAACATCATTGGACGGGAACAAAAGGACGTTATTATGCCCCCACCCCCACCCACCCCAAATGAAGGAAGCGGCGCCACAACCAGCAAAAAAAAAACACCAAAAAAAGACGACCATCCAGAACGTGCCAAAAAACGCAAAAAGTCGCGCGCCTGCCAGCGAAAATGCAATACGTTTTTTTTTTGCAAGGTCATAAAACACTGCGCCTGCCACGCAAAATGGACGTGCTCAAATTCATTGGTGGCCGCAGGTCAAAATGCATTTTTTTGAACTTAAAAAAAGAAAAAAACGCGTTTCGCCTGCACGAGGAGCAGAATTCGAACGTGACGAATGACAATTTTGGCGACGGCGAGACAAGGGTTTTGCGGGTATATATATATATATAATATCCCATTAAATCCCATTGAAGCCCTATGATTTTTGGTTCAATCCAACTGTGGGGTTCAACCTCCAGGTGCCCCGCACCTAGCTTTGCTCGCTGCACCGCTCAACCGCCGTGGAGCGGGCGACACAGGCGACACGGGCGACACGGGCGATGCGGGGGAGGTGTGAGTGACAGCCTCCTGGATGGCCCAACTGGCGGATTTTTCATGGGATTTGATGGGAGTCAATGGGATTCAACGGGATATATGATGGTATACCCATGTATACCCTGTAAATAAAGGGATTTCCATGGGATTTTATAGTGATGAATGGGGGTTTCACCTAGAAAAAAGGAGATATCAATAGAAATTACCTTCTGGTAAACTACTTTTTTTTTGTAATTAGGTAAATGACCAAGAAATGGGCAATGTTCCATAGCTTTGTTCAACTACTGCGGGGCAATCATCACCAAAGTTGTTGCTAATGTGGTTTCCCAAGAATCTCATGAAAAACACCAATAATACCATATTCTTTAGGCGAGAGTCCTAAACTAACCCAAATTTATGCCTGAAGAAAGAAACAGTTGGGTCAAAACCAAAGACCCAAGATTGGTGTGCTATGCACATCCAAACTTTGTTATCCCTTGATTAATCTATTTTCTGGATGATTATGTGCTTCATTATCTGATCTTATCTGGATGATCCAACTTAAGTTTGCAGCAGGCCTTAATAGTTCCGGCCGATGATCCAATATATTCCAGTGATGTTTGAAACTAAAGTGGATGTATCAAAACTGGGATACCAACAAAATGGAAGTGATAGCGATAGCACTAACAATTGCTATAAACTTGCGGTTCGCCAGGGCCTTAAATCCTTAAATTTTGACTACTGTACCCAACAATTAACCCTGGCTAAGTTTAGACCCTTTCCAATACTTGACATATTTGCACATGTCATGGTAGGGCTCAAAGTTGGGTTACCAATGGACCCACACAAACTGACATGTTTAGTATTCAACCATCCCAAAAAGGTGATCATGTTCAACGATTTACCCCCGTATAGCCCCACAAAACACAACTCATTCGCTATGAAATCAGATAAAATTACCATTTCTACCACTAATAATAGATCTAGCTTAGTCATCAATCCATTTCTAGTTGAAAACCCAGCCATCACAGGCAAGGCTTCTCCCACCAAAGTTCCACCGCCCTTCGATCACTGTCCTTGAACTTGGCATCTGGCAACGTCTTGGGTTTCACTGCTTCCACTTCCACCTGGAAGTGATTGGGGTTGAGTTGTTGCAAATCCAAGGCATATGGGTGAAAAATATCAGAACCACACATCAATTCTGATTCTGATTCCGATTCTGATGATTCTGATGATTCTGATGATTCTGATGTGGGCGTTTTTCTTCCAACAAATGTTGATGTTGATGGCTTGGTTGATGGTTTTCCCCTATTTTTTTAATGGAAATCTCCTGGAAAACTCGCCTGCACCGGAGCCGCTGGCTTGGCCGGCGCCGGCGCCAGGGCGGGCGGGCTTTCGGCGTCCACGTTTGTCTGGCGGTGAAAGTCATGGGGATTTTCCCAGAGTTTCAAAATGGCCATCAGAAATATCTGATGGATAATGATTATAACAATAGATAGTGATAGTTGGATCACTATAAAACTATAGTTGGTGGAAATCATCTATACATGTTGATCACGTTCTCTAAACCTGGATTTTCGTGGTGAAGATGGGCTGTTAGATGTTCAATATCCTCAAAGGGATACAAATTGACAGATTCAAAGACAGAGTGGATTAGAAGAAAACAACATTGCAATCGGCTGCGAGAGCATGAAAGGTACCTTTGCCAGTATGGCAGCTGGTCTTCAATTGATTCCTGAGGTCTTCACTCCAAGTGGTTTGGTACCCAGTCAATCCTCTCTCACAATACTGGTGGGGGCCCCTTACTGGATAAAGATGGTAAGATTTTAATCGGGAGATAAATCCATTTTCAGATGCGTTTGAGATACCCCAACTCCCATTTTATGAATGGTTATCATCATTCTATCATGTTCTTTTAAAATCAGAACTCCCATTTCGAAACCATGTCTATCATCATTGTCTATCATTTTCTATCGTTTTATGCCAGTTTATCACCATTTCCCTATCATTTTCCCATGGTTTCCCCACGTTTTCCCTATGAAAAGCTTCGCTTCGTTGACGCCGCCGCCTGCGGCCCACGGTCCACCGGCGCGGCCGGCGCCAGCAAGGGCTGCCAGCGACAGAGCGCGGACCAGCTGTCTGAACCTGGGAAGATCGACAAAACCAAAGAATAACAAATAGTGGTTATTATAATAGTGGTTACTATAATAGTGGTTACTAAATATAATAGTGCTACTATAGTACATACCAATGGTTACTATAATAGTGATTAACAAATGGTTAATGATTACAAATAGTGATAATGGCATAGTGAATGAACAATTGGTGAATTACAATGATTCATAGATTAATCACCAAGAATGCCATTGGTAAATACTAGTCAGTCATAATAATAGTAAAACATAATAGTCAGTTATTCATAGAATAATGTCAGTAATACTAATAGTGATTAACAAATGGTTACTAAATATAATGTTACTATAATAGTTGTTATAATAGTGGTTACTAACACTGTTAATATTACTAAATAGTTTAGTCAGTAATTAATACTATTATGATATTAGTCAGCAATAATAGTCAGAGTGTCGATTACTAGCAAATCATACTAGCCAGTAATAATAATAGTCATAATAAATGATAGTACATATAATAGTTCATGGATATTGTAATAGTAGTACCCTCAGGGTACTATATAAATACTGTAATTGTTATCACTGACTAGTATTATAGTTATCTGTTATTAAACCATACCGACTATCTAGAATTACTGTTAGTAGATGATAGTTACTTGTAGTACTAATAGTAGTGATATCAATAGTAATACACAAATATAGCAACACTAATATAGCAATCATGGTCATAGTAAATGATAGTAGATGACGGCAAGTGATAGTAAATGATAGCAAGTGATAGTACATGATAGCAACTGATAGTAAATGATATTCTACTTATATAGTCCAAACTTCCACCAAGTATTGTCTGGCCTATCATGTTGACTGATGAGGATGAACCCAGAATCATTGCAACTCCCACATGCATCCTGATGGAGGTGGCTACAAAACAAGTAGCTACATTCTCCCACACAGTTCTTGAATTAATTCCTCAATATTCCTCATGTGTGTTGGTTGGTTCTTACCCAACGATACAAGCTTCTGCCTCATTTCTCATGAACCACTAAGCGATCTTGTTTAGATCCGTGATTATCATGGACCTCCACTGTTGCTCAACAACCTCATTGTCCTGTAGTCAAATTTAAGTTCCCCAGTGAACACATAGTGACTATAGTGGATTGTTCAGCAGTGACTGTTGGGTTTCAAACTCTGGGTCTGGAAGTTTGTAACCTGGCAGCCTGCTGAATTGCAAAGCTGGGTCAATGATAACACCCAATATGCTTTTGGGCTATCATCATCAGCCAACAGGGGGTTCTAACCCATCCCAAAATGGTGACTCCAGGACTTTCAAACAGAGGTGCCAATCAAATCTGCCGCCACATCGTCGTCCACTTGCGTGTAGGAACAGTCCTTGATGGTTCCATGGGTCGGGGGAAGCGCTTGACCTTTGCGCTTGAACAAACGGGAAAAAAACATGGAACATCCATGGGAGAATTTTCCCCTCAGATACCTGCCCCATGAATTTCCCTTCATTCACATTGATGTATTACTAATGTACCATCCTATTGATATATTCATATCCCATTAAGTACCATGAAATCCCATTCGCATCCCATTCGTAAACCGTTAAAACGTACCATGAAAATCATTGAGATTTATGATCCCATCCCATTGATCCCATAAATCCCATCTCATTAATGACAATACTACTAATGTCCCATTAATTGAGCTCATGGGATCAATAAAAGTAAATCCCAGCAAAATTCCATTAATCATGGGACATTCGCTGGGACAAAAACTATGGATAATCCCATGAATGTCGTCGTATGGGATGATTCACCGAGGAGCCAAGCGCAAAACCAGCTCCAGCTCCACCAGCCTCTGCCGCAAGGCCGCCAGCCCGGCTTCGCCAAAGTTGCCGCTGGGCTCCAGCTCTAAGAAACGCCTCAGGGCTCCCGAAACGATGGGAAAGGGTGGAGATTCACCAGGAAAATCTGGGATTTCATAGGGTGATCAGCTTCAAAATGTGGGATTTAAGATGGTTTTTACGCCCAACAAATGGGGATTTGTAGGTGATTATAAAATTTGTTAAGTTTATTTTTGGCTCACATAACTAGGGACTAAGGCTTGGAAGAAAGCAACAAGACCAAGCGAAACAACAAACCAACCACGCCACAAAGCCACAGACCCAAAGATCATAGTCCAAGACTTTGATGTGTATCCCAATGTACCAGAAGAAACATAAATGTATGTATAGATAAGTTTCAAACGATGAGTTCTCATTCAAAACATGCCAATAATTCAAACATGCAAGTAGCCACATAGTAATCACATGTAATCAACCTCAGTCTGGCTACAGATTCATTTTCGCCGAATCTCCATTTTGGCGGGTTCAATCTCTCGTTGAATGTCAGCTGTTGAAAGCCAGTTCCGAGGATCATCCGCCAAATCCCCTGCTGGAGGTCACAATTGCCCCAATGGCAGACCCTAGAAGCAATCATGTGTGATGGGTGCCCGGATTTTCACTCGCGGATATCCCATTGTGTTTCAGAGTTCATAAGCTACAACTTGTAACCCCGTAAAATCCCAAGTTTATCCAAAGCTTATCCAAATTTCATGAACTTTAGTCGCTCAATTCATGAATTTTCATCGCTCAATCCACCCAAATAACAACACTGCCAGGTCACAAGCTCTTGGGCAACTTCTCGGCGAGCGTGGCATAGGCGCTGTCGCGCAAGCCCTCACAGCCTGTGACTTTTTTGGGGTGTGGTGGGGCATGATGGAAGATCCATCCATATATTAGGAACATATATGGACACTATCTGGAAAATACCCATCCATCCATCCATCCATCCATCCATCCATCCATCCATCCATCCATCCATCCATCCATCATTACCCGAAAATTAGCCATCAGTATTATGAAGGGGTATGATGGATAGATGGGACATATGCGGAAATTCTGGGGATCTAGAATGGGCAACTTATATGTTGGGGATATTCTATGGGGATTAACTGGGATACTTCTGGGGAATATCTCCAGGGAATATCACCAACTATTTGAGGATACTTGCGGGTTTACTCAACCTGCCATTCCATGAAATACTGGTTGTCAACCAACAGGGGTTTTGAACACTGTCTCACTTTAACTCTTAAATATATCAGACACCTGCATCTGTCCCATGATGTTGAGTGTAATTAGGCTCTGATGTGCTCAGCATGTGTTAAGAAAATCTCCAACACAGGAGGGATTTTAACACATGTTGTTGACACAATAACCTTTTTTTTTACCAAACTAGAAATTGAATAAATCAATGGTTTCAAGACAATTCCCCATATCATTGGACCAATGGAATATCATGTTGATGACCTGCATGATTGGATCATTGGCTGCATCCTCATCATGTTGATTTCCCCGCCCCACCTGAAAGATACAGTCGCAAGCTCTCCATGGAAGGCAGTTGGTGCACCAAACCTGCGAGTCACGACAGGACCAAATAGGATGGCTATGGTGCTGAAGCCGGACCAAAAGACCTAGGATGGCGGTCATTCGCCAAGTGGTCCTGGCTGGTCTATAGTTTATGTTTCACCTAAGAATGGTCTTTGGGATAGGATATGCTACCCCCAAGAGTCGCATTTCACCACCACTGTACCATTGCAAATGGTCTTGCTACTTAGCTTGAGGTGGGACATGATCCCTAGAGCAAATCGCCCAAATCAGGATTTGCCGAACACTCCCGAGACAAGAAAAATAGGTGCTGTTGGACACACCACACACCATCTGGAAAAAAAAGGTGCAGAATCAATGTCAGAGTCTATCCTACATGACAGGAGCAAATCCACTATGAACTTAGGGTCCACGGTCATCTGGTGGGCAACTACAGAAATCAGATCTGGCACATCAATGATCCATGAAATCTGCATGCAACAGCGAATCTGGCAACTGCAATAAGCACACTACTAGATGGTCAAGTTTACAAGTTTGACGTGAACTAAAGCAGGCACGGGTGATCCTCGTTTTTCAGTCCAGCTTCAAATCAGGTGGCAACTGATATTCATAGACACTGCCGGGTGTCACATCCGCGAGGTCCACCATGCTCACATACAACGATCTGTTCTGGACCAGAAGTGCTATAGGGCGCCATGGATCTGGACACTTCAAGACTTCCGTGAAAGTTGCGTCACCTGGACGGAATACCAACACCTTTCCCTGGCTACTGTCTGCCACATAGACTGTTCCGCTTTCAGTGACAAACAGGTCTGCTAGGCCTGGGGCATCCTCGACTGGGATTTGTCCCACCACAACAGGTTCCGACTCAGCTGGATTGAAGCGTAGAACCCGACCGTTCAGGTTATCCAGGACATAGATCACCTCTTCCTTGGTCACAAACATGGCAGTAGAGAACCGGGGGTCTTCCGGAAGACTCTCAAAGGTCACGACTGTCTGGAGCCTCGAGCCCTCCAACTTCTGCAGAGTTTGGCCAGTCAGCACGTACAGCACGTCGTTGGGCGAGCAACACAAAAGATTCTCTTCATGGAACTCATCAAGCACCAACCGTCCAGATCCGTTGTGGAAGCTAACCAGCCTCTCATTGTCATAATCTGCCACAAAGATCTCACCAGAGGGCGCGATGGCCAGGGCGCAATTGTGTCCCAGGTCATTAATTCCAGTCACGCTTGCGCCTGGACCCGCAACTTGTCGCACATCAGCCACTGGACTGCCAGGCTTCCAACAACGGATGCCACCATCATAGCCTGAAAGGTAGAGGGCGCCTTCGTGCCAACACACAGAATAAGACCCGGTCGGCAACGCTTCTCGTCCTGAAACTTCAGTGCTGGCACCCAAGTCTGGTGACCAATGCTGCAAACAACGCCTCTTCGGACGAAAATCTTGTGGACTTTGGGTTCTCTTCCGTTGCCGAACACGTAAAGCTTCTTTGGCTTCTCGCTGCAGATCGTCACCGTTGAGACCAGGGACAGACAAACGGCCAAGACAAAGCAAATTTTCAACAGAAATTGAATGGAAATCCACAAGTTGCAGAAGCGTACCAAGCGAACCATCTTCTTCTTTGGAGATCTTGAGCCAATTGAAGATGCCTTTTAACACTGCCTCTTCCCGAGACACGCCCAAATCTTCTCTTTTCAAGATTCGGGCCAGCTGACTTGCACGAAGCTTCCCGAAGCCGGGATGCTGGCTGCAAGACTCAAACTCCTGAGCAACCTTCTCCTCAGATGCGGCTTTCAAATCATGAAGTCCTTGTGCTACTTGTAGAATCTTCAATGCCGCACTGCTGTCCAAGGAAGCACAGAAGCCTGCCTCAATCACACCTGCTAACTTTGGCAAGTCGTAGGCCTCCGCCAATCGTAGGAGTTCAAGACCAGCTTCCAGATTCACCTCAGGCTGCCCGCCGTAGATATAGTCAAGCAAGGCCGACACCGCTGCTTTTGAAGCAGCGATTTCCACTGGCTGTCCTTTTTGCACCCGGTCTGCTTCCAGAAAGGACCCGCCCAGCAGATTTTTGAAAAACTTGGAGGCGGCAGATAGCACAGCAGCGTGGGCACGATGTTCTGCACCGTCATTGCTCTTCAGCACAACATCACAAAGATGGTCTTCTATCCAGAATTCACGAAACTGCTGCAGGATGCCCAGTGAATGCTGGGGCAAATCTGCATGTTCAACTTTCGCAGCTACCATGGCGCTTGCAAATTCACTAGGTGGGTATTCCACTTGAATAGTTGGAAACGGATTCCGCTTTGTGACTATACCCTCATAATGTGTCCTGGAAGACCCCTTCACGCCTTAGGAACCAAACATATCCTGTTTATGAAAATATCGGCATCCACAAGTTTGAGGAGAACCGAAACTATCAATTTGATGCGCTTGCTAAAGGCTTTGGGCAGCAGAACTTGATGTCCCCAAAATATCCGAAGGATTGCGGGTTTATACCTCGGATCCTGATGTCACAGGCAGCGAGATAAGCAACTCCCTGGATACCCGTCTGATGCTGGCTTTGAGATAAGCAACCTCTGATCGAAGCTGGCTGGGAAATCACGCCTTGAATGAGAACATACAGGAAAATCGTTGTTAAAATGGGAGATTGCCCATTTCCAAATAATATCAGTCAGAGGCTAACTAAGATGATTTTGCTTACAACAATTTCTGCTTGCCGATCCGAAAACCAACGAGTAGTGAGCATCATCATCTTCTTGGATTGGATTCTTTATTACCATTTCGCACCCAGGTGTGAGGCCGCTTAAGGATGATCCCACTTACCAACCATCATTTCTGGAAGGTCATTGTGAGATGGCTGAAATTCAATATCTTGAAACGTTAAATTTGCACGTGAGCTACGTGTTTTTCATTCAAGCTGCAGCTCTGGAGGCAATAAGAACTCGTAAACACCCTCAGGGACAGCAGGGAACCCGGAAAGGGGATCTGGAGGATGCCCCTCCGTGCTCACATATAGCGATTTGCCCTGAACCAGAAGTGCAATGGGTTTTAATGCACCTGGACACTGCAAGACTTCCGTGTAAGTTGTGCAGCCTGGACAAAATGCTAACACTTTTCTTTGGTTCTGTTCAGCAACATAGACAGTTCCACCTTCAGTTACGAACAGGTCCCATAGGTCCAGTTTGTGCTCGACTGGGACTTCTCCCACCACAACAGGCTTCAACGACTCAGCTGGATTGACGCGTAGAATGCGGTGGTTGGGACGATCAATGATGTAGATCACCTCTTCCTTGGTCACAAACACGGCCGAGAATTCGAGGTCTTCTGGAAAATCCGCGATGGCCTTCACTGTCTGGAGCCTCGAGCCCTCCAACTTCTGCAGAGCTTCGGAGGTCAGCACGTACAGCACGCCGTTCGGCGAGCAACATATCATGTCATACCCATGCAGATTGTCAAGCACTAAGCGGCCAGATCCGTGTTGGAAACTAACAATCCTGTCATTATCATAGTCTGTTACAAAAATCTCTCCCGTGGGAGAAATGGCCACGTAGCAATCACACCCCAGGTCATTGATTCCGGTCACTGCAGTGCCTTTGCCCGCAACTCGTCGCATGGCCGTGAGATCACCCGGCTTCCAGCAAATGACGCCACCCTCCAAGTCTGTCACAGTGGCATAAATGGCACCTTCGTGCCAGCACAAGGAGTTGCATGACGTAGGAAACACCATCCGCTCTGGAGCTTCAGTGCTGGCACCCAAGTCTGGTGACCAATGCTGCAAACAACGCCTCTTTGGACGAAAACTCTGTGGACTTTGGTTTCTCTTTCGGCGAACTCGCAAAGCTTCATGCACTTCTCGGTGCAGCTCATCCACATTTGGGCTAGATAGATTGAAGCTACCAAGTCGAAGTAAATTGTCAACAGAAACCGACTGGAAATCCACAAGTTGCAAGAGCATAGCCAGAAAGGCGTTTCTGTCCTTTGAGATCTTCAGCCAGTTGAAAATGCACTTTAAAACTGCTTCTTCACGAGACACGACCAAATCTTCTCTTTTCAAAATTCGCGCGAGCTGACCAGCACTGAGTTTCCAAAAGTCTTGCTGTTGGCTGCAGGTTTCAAAATCTGCAGCAACCTTCTCTTCACACGTAGCTTTCAAATCATGAAGTCCTTGTACTTCTTGCAGAATCTTCAATGCGGCACTGCTGTCCAAGGAAGCACGGAAGCCTGCCTCAATCGCACCTGCTAAGTTTGGCAAGTCGTAGGCCTCCGCCAATCGTAGGAGTTCAAGACCAGCTTCCAGATTCACCTCAGGCTGCCCGCCGTAGACGTAGTCAAGCAAGGCCGACACCGCTGCTTTTGAAGCAGCAATTTCCACTGGCTGTCCTTTTTGCACCCGGTCTGCTTCCAGAAAGGACCCGCCCAGCAAATTCTTGAAAAACTTGCTGGCAGCAGACAGCACAGCAGAGTGCGCACGATGTTCTGCACTGTCATTGCTCTTCAGCACAACATCACAAAGATGGTCTTCCATCCAGAATTCACGAAACTGCTGCAGGATGCCCAGTGAATGCTGGGGCAAATCTACATGCTCAACTTTCGCAGCTACCATGGCGCTTGCGAATTCACTAGGTGGGTATTCCACCTGAGTCACCCCCCAGTAGCCTTGCTGCTTTCCTAGTTTGCTATTTATGGGTATGCCGGTGAGCTGGTGAGTGAGCTGCTGGCGCCTTCGTATGAGGAAGTTGGTGGCAAACTACAGATGAGTTATATTCTTACACTTTGAAAGCCCACAAGTCAGACAAGTCATTGGTTTCCTGATCAAAAATTACCAAGCCCCATTTGAAGAAACCTCCATCTATTGACTCTGTTTCCATCATGGATTCCATACTCTCTAGCAGTCTGGGCTGCTGTTGTTCGACTTTCCCTCTAGAGAGAAAACAAGGCAGCCGACTCAACGCGAGGAACGGCCAGCCACAATTCCTTGGGTAATTATCAAGAGATTTTGAAGGGAATATCATTGTGTATACTGATCATCCTCATATAGGGAAAATCCTGGACATGTTATCTTAATCCAGTATGATACATCAAAATGATTGGTCAAATCATGCTTATTCATGTCTGATATCCCCACTAATTATTGGTGATACCATTGTGTGCTCTTCAGTTCAGTAATACTTGGATACCCATCCTGGCAGATATGTGGTCCCTCAAACAAGAATTGTTGGGAAACTCTATGGAGACTTCAAGGCCATGAAATTTATGTTCAAATCTTTATCAATTTTATGGCCTTGTTTGAGAGATATGTCTCATCTTTAGATTAATATATCTTAGTGACAATCTCACATGAAATCCATTGGTTTTCTGTGGCAACAGAATCAAGACCTCCAGTGACGGAGTTCGGTGCCTGCCAAACCGTGATCCGTCAACTGCTCGCAGTTGTCCAGGCTCATGGTCAAACCTCAGAAGGGCTGAACAAACTGCAGATATTCAGAGGTAGTCTGGATACACATCTACCATCATCTACCATCATCTACCTATGTTAATCTGATATCTTATGGAAAATGTAAATCATGTCCAAAGTTGGGGATCAATCTTTCGATCGGCCCTTTGATCCACAGCTGGTCTGGGTCCCTGGTCCGATCCACAGCTGTCAGCAAAAATATCGACCCAAGGCACTGTTCAGCTGGGGTAAAGCATCTCCAAGAGCCCTCAATCCCAAATCCTCCAGGGCAACTTGGAAGGCCAGCTATCTGCGTTGTGATAGTTTTCCACTTCATCCTTTCACTTCAGCAGAACACCCTGACCTGTTTTGTCAAAACATAATCAAGATTTATGTACATCTATCTATATGACATATAATGCAAACCGCATGTTGAACGCACCTTAAATTGAAAATCATCCAACAACGATTTCTAGTTTAAAGGAACCTATCTTTGACCATAAAACGAATTGCAGTATGTATACATATGAAATGTGATGTTAGTCCGCAACTCGGTATGAATTAAAACAACCCCTGAACGACAATGCTGTTTTTTTGGATACCTGTCAAATGCTAGGTAACAATCCATTCTCCCCAATCTACGCTTGTACAAACTCAAATATCATGCAGTGGGGAAAACAATAACGCAAAATGATTGGTTCCTGTGGAACATATTAATTGGGTGTGGTTCACAACTTATAACAACGCCCCAATGACAATTATGAGCTATAAACCATGCCCACCTCTGGATACAAATTCAACATAAGCATACCGACTTACTGAATAACGCCAAACTTATGATTTACACATCGATACATATCTATGCATGTTTTTCAGGCATGGATGTAAGTCACCGAACAGTCCTCCAAAATCCCACAGTTGCTGAAGCATAAGTGCAGGGCTTTCACCTTCAGAAGGTGGTAGGAAATGGAAGGCCCAACCTTGGGCCATCCTCCTTTGGGTATGACGTACAGGTGGGGTGGTTGAAGGTCACCAACTCAAATAATTGACTACTTGGATTTGGCACAAAAAATTGGGGACCCAATTTACTTTATCTGTTTTTGTTCCTATTAGACCATCCAGTTTTGAGAGTAAGCAAGTTTGAGCCGTACCAATTTGATGTAAGGGACGTGAAACTGATGATTTTCCCACCCCCCCAGTCACCAATGAGCCTGATCTGGGAACGAACCACCCAAAATTGGGATTTTCACTCACAGAAAAGGGGCTGTGATCACCAAACGGCTTGGTCAGAAACAGAGTAGCCCGCAAAATCCTGTCATGTCTCCAGATCCATCGGTAAGCTGTGGTCAGGATACATCCCATTGTCTTCCCATCTAAAAATACCCATAAGTATTCACCATGACACACCATCCTGTTGGTCATTCTCACTGTATTCGCAAAACACGGCCGGGAACTGAACCGTCATTTTTGGCTAAATCTGCACATAAATGGCGAATGGCTAACCAGTGCTGATCACCATCATCACCATCACCATCCCACTACATCCCACATGACTTATGATTGGCATATGACGGACATAGTGGATGCATGTGAATGCAATAGTATACCCCAGGTTCAAGAAAAACCATATAGAGTTCTTTAATATCCCTTCTATTTAGATATCTAAGGTATCTAAATACGTAATATATGTACACATCCCCATTATGGTCGGCTATATCCCGATTATCAATATCAATATCATTACCATATTATATGCATACTAAGTTACTATATCCAGATCATCACCAAGCATATATGGGATATAAGCAACCATATGGGATATAGATATACTGATATACTATATATATATATATATCCAACTTATAACTGATATTTTCCTTACATGGGAATATTTGCTACTCCCAAATCATCTATTTGGGTAGGATTTTCCATTATAAACCATCCATTTTGGGGTACCTCCATGTATGGAAACCATGAAACCCTCCACAGTCAGTGCCACGCCTCCTTTGGCATCCGCCGTGCCAAGGTGCAGAGCCCTGGCCCGCGCAACTGGGCTCCGCTCAGGGACAAACTCAGCAGCCTGGACCACAAAAAAATGGGGGGAAAATGGGTAGATTGGATGGATTTTGATTGGGATACCACCTGAATTTATTGGGATAAGATATGGATTCGGAAATGTTGGGGGAGACCAGCAATTTGTGATATCATGAGAGAAAATGAAACTAAATGAGGTAAATGGTACAAGATTGGGGATGACGCGATGATAGATTGTGGGATTGGAGGCTCTCACCCCTGGAATCTGATGCAAAATCTGTGGCAACATGGATGGCCAACTTATTTCCTGGAAACAAGTTGGAGGTCGACCTGTCCTTCGAATGTTGGAACATATAGGGACTGCCCAAAAAGGTGACACTTTCCTATCAACTGGTGGCCATCCCCAAACCTCATTTCGACGATCCCACACATGCTGCGGGTGCGCAACCCTGAGAATGGTTTTGCTGACTTGAAGCAGAAATTGCGAAAGAACTGAACAGAGGGACCGTTCGCTGCCTTGAGACTCTGACCTTTCTGAGCCTGCAAAGAAATTGAGTCAATTCCCGGCAGTGGTGGGAAAACAACAACATGACATAAACATTTGAAAATATTTGAACTAATGATCAGGCCAACACTCAGCTAAAGCAGCCGACCCCATCAGCTCCTGTTTTTTCATTCAAGTTGCAACACAGGTGGCAACTGATATTCATAGACACTGCCGGATGTCGGATCCGGAGAGTCCACCATGCTCACATACAGCGATCTGTCTTGGACTACAAGTGCTGCCGGGTGCCATGGATCTGGACACTTCAAGACTTCCGTGAAAGTTGCGTCACCTGGGCGGAATACCAACACCTTTCTCTGACCATAGTCAGCAATATAGATTGTGCCAGCTTCAGTAACGACCAAGTCATATAGGTCAGGTTCCTGCTCGGCTGGGACTTGCCCCACCACAATAGGTTCGAAGGACTCAGCTGGATTGAAGCGTAGAATGCGGTTGTTGTTGCTATCAAGGACATAGATCACCTCTTCCTTGGTCGCAAACATTGCATTGGGCGACACAATCTCCAGGTCTTCCGGAAGAGTCTCAAAGGTCATGACTGTCTGGAGCCTCGAGCCCTCCAACTTCTGCAGAGCTTCGGAGGTCAGCACGTACAGCACGCCGTTGGGCGAGCAACATATTCTTTCAACATGAGGCGACTCATCAAGCACCAAGCGTCCAATTCCATTGTGAAAGCTAACCAGCCTTTCATTGTCAGAATCTGCCACAAAGATCTCCCCAGTGGGTGCGATGGCGAAGTCACAATCCGCCCCCAGATCATTGATTCCAGCCACTCTGGCGCCTGGACCCGCGACTTGTCGTGCATCGGCTGCTGGACTGCCAGGCTTCCAACAACGGATGCCACAATCATGGCCTGCAGTGTAAAGGGAGCCTTCATGCCAATGCAAGGAGTATGCAGGGGTTGGCAAAACTTCTCGTCCTGAAGCTTCAGTGCTGGCACCCAAATCTGGCGACCAATGTCGCAAACAACGCCTCTTTGGAAGAAAATCTGATGGCCTTTGGGTTCTCTTCTGTTGCCGAACTCGTAAAGCTTCTTTGGCTTCTCGCTGCAGATCGTCACCGTTGAGACCAGGGACGGGCCAGCGACCAAGGCGAAGTAAATTTTCAACAGAAATCGACTGGAAATCCACAAATTGCAGAAGCATACCAAGCGAACCATCTCCCTCCTTGGAGATCTTGAGCCAGTTCAAGATGCCTCTGAAAACACTTTCTTCCCGAGACACACTCAAATCTTCTCTTCTCAAGATTCGGGCCAACTGAATTGCACGAAGCTTCCCGAAGTCGGGATGCTGGCTGCAAGACTCAAACTCCTGAGCAACCTTCTCCTCAGATGCGGCTTTCAAATCATGAAGCCCTTGTGCTACTTGAAGAATTTTCAAGGCGGCACTGCTGTCCAAGGAAGCACGGAAGCCTGCCTCAATCGCACCTGCTAACTTTGGCAAGTCGTAGGCCTCCGCCAATCGTAGGAGTTCAAGACCTGCTTCTAGATTCACCTCAGGCTGCCCACCATAGATATAGTCAAGCAAGGCAGACACCGCTGCGGTAGAAGCAGCAATTTCCACTGGCTGTCCTTTTTGCACCCGAACTGCTTCCAGAAAGGATCCACCCAGCAGATTCTTGAAAAACTTGGAGGCGGCAGATAGCACAGCAGCGTGGGCACGATGTTCTGCACTGTCATTGCTCTTCAGGACGACGTCACAAAGATAGTCTTCTGTCCAGAATTCACGAAACTGCCGTAGGATGCCCAGTGAATGCTGGGGCAAATCTGCATGCTCAACTTTCGCAGCTACCATGGCGCTTGCGAATTCACCAGGTGGATCTTCCCGAGGATCACTAGCCTTGTGTTGTGGCCAAAAAATCACTGGTCTCCCTATTAGAAATTGCCAGTTTCGGATGATTTTGGGATCCCCTGGTTGTGACAAACCTGCATATGTTGACTCTGGTTCCGTGAGAGATTCCAAGGAGACATTCTCGTTTGCAGTCTGGGCTGTCGACCTTCTCTCTGGAGGAAAAAACGATGCAGCAGCCAAATCAACGTGGGGAATCCTTTGGTGACCGAATAGAGAATACATCACGAAAATCGCAAACATTCATTCTGATTTCTGGGAGAAACATAGAGCCACAACCATTTTGGTGGATCCATGATGCATGTATCTACCAGTAGTACCGCACAAGGCGGTGGCGGAAGTTTCAAAAACAGGAAACCTATAGGAGAGGTTGGTTGTTGTGAATCAGGGATGGCAGAGGGAAGCCACTGATGGACTGAAAGGTGCTTGATCTCTCTCACTCTTTCTATCTCTTTCTCTGACTATCTACCTACCTACCTATCTATTTTCTATGTATCTATCTATCTATCGATCTATCTATCTATCTATCTCTCTCTCTCTTTCATCGAATTACCCAATCAATCAATCAATCAATTTATCTATCTATCTATCTATCTTTCATCTGTCTATCTGTCTATCTGTCTAGCTGTCTACCTGTCTATCTATCTATCTGTCTGTCTATCTGTCTACCTGTCTATCTGTGGTGCAGTGTCATTTAGTGTATTGTAGTGTAGTGTAATGTAGTGTAGTGTAGTGGAGTGTAGTGGAATGTAGTGTAGTGTAGTGTAATGTAGTGTAGTGTAGTGTAATTTCGTGTAGTGGAGTGTAGTTGTGTAGTCGTAGTTGTAGTTGTACTGTAGTGGAGTGTAGTGTAGTGTAATGTAGTGACGTGTAGTGGAAGGTAGTGTAGTGTAATGTGGTGTAGTGTAGTGGAGTGTAGTGTAGTGGAGTGTAGCGTAGGGTAATGCAGTGTAGTGTAGTGTAATTCAGTGTAGTGGAGTGTAGTTGTGTAGTTGTAGTTAAAGTGTTGTGGAGCGTAGTGTAGTGTAATGTAGTGTTGTGGAGTGTAGTGTAATTTAATGTAGTGTAGTGTAGTGGAGCGTAGTGTAGTGTAATGTAGTGTAGTGAAATTTAATGTAGTGGAGTGTAATGGAGTGTAATGGAGTGTAGTCTAGTTGTGTAGTTGTAGTTGTAGTGTTGTGGAGTGTAGTGTAGTGTAATGTAGTGTAGTATAGTGGAGTGTGGTGTAATGTGACGTAGTGTAGTGTAGTGAAGCGAAGCGGCGAAGCGACATCTGAACCTCCAAAAGTGGTCCGAATGCTAGTGCTTTGTACATGTTCACTTCGAAATGTGCTTCGCGCCACAACGGCGTGCACTTTTTCAATATCTCAACTTCCAAAAGTGGTCCGAGAATGGTGTGTTTTGTACATTTTGACTTCAAAATGTGCTTTGCGCCACAACGGCGTGCATTTTTTCGACATCTCAACTTCCAAAAGTGGTCCGAGAATGGTGTGTTTTGTACATTTTGACTTCAAAATGTGCTTCGCGCCACAACGGCGTGCACTTTTTCAATATCTCAACTTCCAAAAGTGGTCCGAGAATGGTGTGTTTTGTACATTTTGACTTCAAAATGTGCTTTGCGCCACAACAGCGTGCATTTTTTCGACATCTCAACTTCCAAAAGTGGTCCGAGAATGGTGTGTTTTGTACAGGTTGACTTCAAAATGTGCTTCGCGCCACAACGGCGTGCACTTTTTTGACATCTCAACTTCCAAAAGTGGTCCGAGAATGGTGTGTTTTGTACATTTTGACTTCAAAATGTGCTTCACGCCACAACGGCGTGCAAATTTTCATCTCTCATCTGGCCAGCTGGCTCCGCACCCGCCGCTTTAGCGAGCCTACTTTTCGACCCTCCGGAGCCACAAATCATTGGAAAAACGCAGTGAATCGCGACTTTCCTACCTTTTCGCGCATCTCCATCTTCTTTCTTCTTACTCTTTCTCTTCTACTCTTCTCTCTTCTGATCTTTCTCTTCTCTCTGCCTCTTCCCTGCTCTGCTTTTCATCTGTCCATATTGTCGGAAGTTTGACTTCTAAACTTCCTTCGATAAGCAAAGAAAGTACTGTATGCAACAACGAAGAACAAGTTGGATCAGAATCAGTGGGCGAGTTGAGATATGAACAAAATGCTTAGTATCCCCTTGCCCGCAGGATTTGGGGGTACATCAAGTGCCAATAACGCCATCCCGCACCTCAATGAGTCTTTGAGTTTCAAGGCTGCTAGGCCCGCGTCCGTAAAGTTGGCTCCACTCATGGAGAGTTCCTGAGGGAAAGCACTAAGTGTAGCGAAATGTTGGCTGAAATGGTGAAACTGGCTGATGGGATGACACGGGTGAACATGGTCCCAAGAAACCATCAAGTCTGGCCATTTTGGTCTGGAAGTGGTAAACCTCTCTCTTTATGCTTTGATATTCTTTGCACCCAACGTTGACTCAATACCAACATGGGTCACAAAAAACACCATCCTGGAAATGCAGTGTGACATGACTCACCCCTTGGTATAGTCATAGAGGTACCAGATTCAACGGCCTGGTCCCAAAGCCTGGTGAAAATTCCGAAAAGTGGCCCATGCGCCACGGTTTACCAAGAAAGCCCAAGAAAGCTGGTTCATAAAATGTTCATCCTGTCTGCCAAACTGATGATTGCCTCATCTTCGTGCTGCCAAGCCGCTAAATGCTGCAAGCAAGGCAATTCAGCACCACCAACTGCTGCCAATGTTCCATCACCCAACAACTCCTCAGGGCTTATGGAGCCACGACCCATGCCTATCATTTTCGAAATCTATGGAGTCGAGTGCTTAAAGTCGTTGTCGATGATATCTAATTCATCCTTTGGTGACAATCAACAGCTTCAAATTTCAGTGCCTATGCTTTCATCCAACAACTAAAGATGTCGCCTCTTTTAGGTGAGTCGCCTGCGTCATAACATGACCAGTCATGGTGGCCAACTCATAAATGCTATTGTAGTAACATCCCAAATAAGTACCACATGTTTCACGGAAGCAGGGTAAGCAACAGGGCATTCTTCATCAACATCCGAAACTGTGGAGAAACCAGCGTAGTCTGCAATTAAGTGGTTCTCTGGCAGGTTGGGTATTCTATTTTCCGAGGTCAAACACATTCACATCTTTTCCCAGCAACATTCCCCGAACTCGTTGGATCTTGGTTTACAAACATGCTGGGGGGTTTTCAAACCTTGTTTTGCGGGTTTCAACCCGAATCTTAGTTGCTTGAATCTCCAGTGAATCAGGGTTTTAGTTGGTTTACCCAGCAACACCTACTAAACCCAACAGTGACGAAGCAGCCCACTAGAGAGAAAAAAATGTTGGTTTGTTTATCAATTGGGTTCACTATTGGTTTTTGATGTATGATGTATATTATTATCATTATATATAGGTATGGCTCTATATATGTTAAATATCTACCACTGGGAATCGATTGGATGGGTTTATGAACCTCTTCATACCTCTTCGCAACATTTGGGACCCCTCCAGACGTCGGCCGAGGGTCACAGTCGTTGCAGAAGAGCTGCAGTTTTTCCAAACCTCAGCGAGTGGAAATGTTAACTTATAGTAAACACAATGACGAGTTTCACCAACGACTTTAACAGCAAAAATGAGAGGATGCTTTACAACAAACATGGATGTTCATTATCCTCTGGTGCTGTTCTTTCTGTTTCTGGAGATTTCATACGGCACGATGCTTTCACGATTTCTTTTGATGGTGGATATGGGTCGAAAAAAAGATGTCGGTTGATGTCAATTCCCTCGGGCTCTTAAAACTGTGTCCAAGAACGACAAGGAATGCTCTAATAACCCACACATGCAACAAGTTTGTTTTAGAACATGCGATTATCCGTGGGCACTGTATACTTTCCTTTGGCCTATATTGTGCAAATGGTTCCGTCTATGCCGTCACTAAAATGCATCGCACATGTGAAATTGTTCCATCTATGTAAAGAAAATGTTCCATCTATGCAAAATACCAAGAATTGCACTTTAAATTCTCTCAAATTTTACGTATTGTATAAACATAATCAATATATATATAATAGTATATTCTTGGTCATGAACACGGGGCATAGATGGGCATAGTAATCCTTCATTTTTCCCGGGATTTTTTCATGACACGATGCCCAGTGGATCCACGCCTGCAGGAAGCGCTTCCCCCAGTGCGCTGAGACCCGCATCCGTCAGGGCGGCGCAGTTGTCCAGCACCAGACCTACAAGTGGTAGTTTTGATATGTTTTGATAGTACCTACTATTGCCAGTATTGTTATTATTGTTTTGTTATTATTGTTGTTAGTGTTGTTATTGTAGTTAGTTGTCGTCGTTGCTATTGGTATTGTTGCTATTCCAATCCAAATTCGTTGGAATCAGCCCAGGAATCCATCTGTGTCGAGGCCAGTTGTTGGATGTGGACCATCTACCCATCTGTGCCAAAGTTTTACCAAAGTCCCACCAGTGGCTTCCAGTTAACCCCAGGTGCTCATTTTCCGGGTTGCAATAACATCAATGGGGATCTAGGAATCTAATGATATGATTTGGTTGTATTAACATATGTCATCTGTTTTTGCAGTTATAACCATATACATCCATATACTAATTATCACCATATATCATATTAAATCTCATTATAAGCCTATAGGAATTGATATATTCCATATATTCCACTGATACATCCAGATATTCCATATACAACACCATTATAACCATATATCAGATATTCCACTGATAGGAATTCATGCCACCTGCTTTCCAAATATCAGTGTTCTGCATCCCAGTGGCGCAAGGTTTTCAAGCCCTTGGGCAAGGCAGCAGCTAAAGCACTGAGCCCACCGTCTCCTGCAGGGAAAACACGATTTACTATGATTCATTATGGTTACCATGGCTTATTATGGTTAATATATGTTAATAGACTATAGCAAATACTATGGTAAACACACATCTTGATGGTAAATCAATGAAAATCATGTTGAGCCAGATACAGGGACTCTTGTTTATTGATGTATTAGAGATGTCCTAGGATTGGATAGGAACCTGTGAAACTAAGAAATAAAAAGGCGGATGTGACCTATGTATATAGGGGTTCTTTACAATTGGGACCCAACATCATCCAAACATGGTGTTTTGTTGAAAACGATCGGTCCATGCAAAGAAACCCCGGTCTCAGCAACGAAATTGGTCCTTTTCATGCAACAAAATTGGGACATTAGCAGGTTCCACTCTGGAGATGAAGTTCAATGTAAAAAGGAGCTAGAGTGAGATGCAAAGGGAACGTAGAAATACAAGGCCGACAAAATGTTGGTCTCATCTGGAAATGGGTCGGTCAAGTCATTGGGTACAAAATAGAATTGGATGGTAAGTGCTCATGGAGGTAGAATCTCTTCAGTGAGGAAAAAAAACAACACAAATGGCATATGGCAGTGTGTCAAAACCTTGTACCCCTGGTGAACATCAAAATAGCTGGTAAATGGATGTTCATTCCCCTAAAAATGGTATTAATAGGTATTGATCCATATCCATATCAACTACTGGTACTTTCCAACTAAACATCACCATCGGTGATCATTCCAGATATTTGTTGAATGGCAGCATCGATGACAAACAGCGCTCCAAGGGTTGAGTTCCTGGGTGATATGACAATGTCCCCGCGACGATAAGCCGATAAGGATATCCTTGATACACTTGACCAAAACAAAATCAAAGATATATCTCTATACTCAATATATAAGGGTATATTCCCATTAAGTCCCATTAAATGACATTAAACCACCATTAAACCACCATTATATAGTAACAACTCATTGGGAGGGATAGATATATTCAAAGGATTTCATTCCAGAATTTCCCAGCAGATCTCAGCACCGATGGTTCCTACATGGCGGACGCTTTTGAAGGACAAGTCCAACTGCTGCAACTGTTCCTTGGCACAACATGTGAGCCATTTCTATGGCGTATGCTCCCCCCAAATGGCATTTTTAATAGGGAAAAACATGATGAGTAGTGGATGGAGTTGGGTGTATCCTAGACAGAGCCATTTAAGGGAAATCTATGGGAAACTGTGGACATTCCCGGCGTTGAAGCTGGAAAACCCATCGCCATCTTGTGGAGATCTGGAGCCCAAAAACCAAGGAATCAACCGAAACGGGTTGCATCGCGTTGCATCACGTTGCATCCCTCAATTCTTCAAGACTTGAACCCCATCATGGTTTTATCATTTTATCCACAATGGTCAAATCGTAGATTTCATACCTGATTTCAAGTTTGTAATGAACGGCGTGTCTTTTTCGAGTCACCAGTCACACTCCCCACCTGATGTTTCCAGCAATAAATTGGGTCCCCATCTTTTCCGAGCCCCGGCTAAAAGAGGACCTCTTACAAAAAACACAGCCCAGCAGCTCAATGATAAATAATCCAAACATGGAGTATATCCCAAATCCACGGATTCATCATATTTCATCATCATATAATGAGTAGACCATAAAAATCCATAAATTTAATCATTAAATATATTTAATAATCATATAATGGGGAATATGGTGGATGACCATATTCCCCATAGATTCCCCATGTATTCCCCATATCCAATGGTCATCCACCGTGTTTTTCCAAGTGACGAGCTGACTGAGTTTGGAGGCTAGGGAAGCTAAGCCTGGATCGCCTGCCAGGGGGATTGGGATCCTATCGGCGCAACGAGATGGAGATTTTGTAGCATGGGAGAGTCCCCAACAAGGTTGGAGATTTTATCAAAAGCCCAAAATTGAACATAACACATAGAAATGGGGGAGTTGATGTGTAACTGTGTAACCATGCGGAGAACATGTGGAAAACAATCTTGGAGAACTAGTTGATCCCCTTCTGCAGGTGGGGCACAACACTTGGGCACCTATGGGCACCTCAAGATTAGATGGTAGCATACAATGGCATACGATGCGCATACCACTTACAATCTGTTTGATACCCTATATACAAAAAGAGGTTATACATACATGAGTCACACACCACCTACCAGTAATGGCCGAAATCCGTTGGTTTTTGGGTTATTTGATGACAGGCAGCTCGCTGTCCCACAGATGAGCCTAGCTTTGTCTGTAAGCTCATGATGAAACAGTCCAACTTCAAAGAAATCCTGAGCCGGGCTGATTCTGGACCAATGTGGACATGTCATGTCCAAGTATGGGGAAGGTAGCGGAACTAAGGATTCTTTTCACAGGTTTACTCAACAATGTCTGGGGATGATGCCAATGATCATCGTCACCTCTCAACTGGGAGATTCCAAAGAGTCAGCTGGAATCATTTTTGCTAACAACCAGAGATAGAAAATCAGAAACTGACTGAAACACATTGAGTCAGTGTGAATTCCATTGGATGGCCACCAATTTCGACCCAATTTGAGCGGATCTCACGGGTAGTCAGCCGGGTATGATCTTGGGATGTGCAGAACTGACTGGCTTACGCGGGTATAAGTCACACTTTGATAGACGAAATCGGATACTTTATATTGCAAGATATTGCAAGTCATTTTAAAGAACTGTTCCTGTCTGGATCTCATGTTTGAACATGTTTGAACCATTTTGAACCCATACCTCAATTTTTCATGCTTAGAACGTCCGCATTTGGCATCATTTGCCGGTTGAGCAAAAGGATACCGCAGCAAACATCGATCAAAAACCGCAGCTGAGCGCAACATTTCCCTGTTCTCACCAGGCCAAGTCACAAGGTCTTGGGCAGATGGTGCTGCAAATTCCAGAGGCCCCGGTCACTTAACTTCACCCAGCCAGCTAGGCCTGCTGTGATGGCTATGGATGGCTGGATATTCCCAATGAGTCACCCAAAAATGTCACGAATTCTACAAAAAATGCTATTTGTAGTAAGGATCTATGTCTAATGTATTAGCAAACAACATACATTTTGAAGGGGTTGTGAAGAGGCATTTATGATGATCCTATTGTTCGTGTTGATGGTCAGCACCATTCCTTATATATACCTACAAGAATATGATCTTTTCGAGTTTCTTGGGCGAGCTTCGTGCATTGGTGAGTGCTAAAGTGGGGTTAGAATGGTTAGAATGTGGTTTTCATCCCAACAAACCATCCACAATGCACAAAGAACGTATCCCGATCATGTCGATTGCAATGACATCCCACATTGCACAATGACATTTTCATCCCACAATGGCCATCATTTCGTCTTAAAAATGTCAATTGACAATGATTCACCACATGTCGAAGTGCTCAACTGACATTGGATCAGAAATCCCATCATATCCATCATGTCATTGCAGGGTTGCCACCCACTTTTGGACTCCATATGTACCATGGTCAAAACATGGTATATGAGCTTTGGCCATCCATCCCACAATGGGAATCCAAACATATTGGGTATATCAATCCCTATGACAATGGATTGATGGCCATCCCCTAGTTCACGGGTTACTGTAATCCAATCCAACTTTTGACCATGGCTCACCTCACCAAACAGCGCTCCACAAAGAGTGGATTCTGCCAAATTGCTACTGAAAATAAGGTACACCTGCCAACTTGCCATAGCAAACATGAAGATTACATCAATGTTCTTCCAAACGTAGTGGATTTGTGTGCCAGTCATACCTTCTGATCTCTGAGGATATTCACAAAAAAACGAATTGTGCAATCTTAAGGGGAGACATCATGTTCTAAACAATTGCAGTAGATGTTCCCCTAGAAAAATGTTTGAAAGAAATTATAGTACTCTCTGGTAAACAAACGTGGCAATGGAAAATCCAGCATTTACAGTTGATGTTCCCATTAAAATCTCAATTTTTGGATGTTCAACTGCCATGTTTGATTTTCCCAATATTTTTCGCAGCGGCGCACCCAGCGTCAAGTGTTCCAACTTGGGCGGCAATGCCTCCGCAATGGCCTGGGGGATGGCTATTGCACTACGTTTTATTATAGAATCATATATAGTATAGAACATAGAGCAATCTATAGACTATATATGATCCCATCAAAAACAAAAGGCATTGCAATTTAGCATTGAAAAAACTGGCATTTTATCAGATTTTTGGTGTTTCGAAATCTCTTCCCCCTGTAGACACACCCCAGAAACCGCGTTAGGAGGGGCTACATCAGGCTGTGACAAATATGGCTGACCTGGCTGGGTATCACCGTAGGACAATCTTCGCCAAACAGATATGATCAAAAGGAGGTATATAATTTAACATACTGTATATATATATAATATACAATAGGCGTATCGTGGGCACGTAAGCTACAACAAATCTGAGTAACCGACAGACTTGGGTTTTCAAACTTGCTTATGCAGTATGCACTATATCCAGACTCAGATAGTTCGAACTTGCACACAGATCAACCATAGAATATGTAGATATCTCAACTGGATCAATTCATCCAAAACTGGATGATATTTAGTATTCTATGGGTGATGATTCTATGGTTAATATATCTAACCACTTATTTTGCTTTTTGTTCATTATGCTTACAGCATTGGGGAAAACCACCTTGGTCCATAACCATCTTCACCTGGAACCCCCAAAAAAGGTGGATTCCATGGTAACTTTAGATGGTCACCTTAGATACAGAAATGGAAAGCCACTTCTCTACCAGGAATCATTTTTCAACTTCATATAGCATATTTTTATATATTTTTGACATGTCCTTCCTCCAAACAAGGACTTAAAATACTTACGTACAATACATCAACATCAATCAACTCCCATCATATCCCCCATCTGGGCCTAAAAAAACGGAACAATTCCAATGCTTTCTACGAGGTTTCGTTTGGGGGTGATTTTAAAAAAACAATAACGGTCCAACACATATTCAATTAAATTTTCATTACAATTATCATTAAATACCATTCACCACGTTAATATCCTACTGAATTCCCATTAAATCCCATGAAATATAGGTCATTAAATCCTATTAAATCCAATGAAGTCATTAAGTCCATGAAATCCCATGAATCTTCCATTGGATTCTTTGCCCCTTGAGGTGATCCCGGCGCCACAGGAACTTTTTCGGCCTTCAAACCGACATCGCCCAAGCGCGTGCCATCTGCGAAGTCCAGGAAAAGTTCCGTGAGGCTTCTGGCAGCTTTCACGGAAAGCAACGGTTTAGGAAAACCTCTTGATAGGTGAATCAAAGAATAATTGATTGGTGAATTGATAGATCAAAGATAATTAATGATCAATATCAATATATACTGCAATTGATGATCAAAAATAGCTGATTGGTACTGATTTACAGGATCTTTTGAAACCAATTATTAAAAGTATTGGTAATAATAAGGACAATTATAGTACTACTAATAGTGCTACAAGTACTAATAGTGCTACAAGTAATATAATTAGGAAATACATACTGATACTCTTAGTGTCTCCGGTCGTGTTATCATATAAATCCCCATGTTCAAAGGCATGTCATTTGGATACAAATGAAGGATGTCAAATTGCCATGTCTACTCCACTTCCTCAATAACCAGAAATCAAGAAAGTTTACAGAATTCAATTTTGACCAGAACAGTTTTGGGAATTTATCAGTAAAACTCTCCCATTTCCATTAGTAGAAAAACGATGTTGTTGCAACCTATGTTTCATCAGCAAAACTCTCCATTTCCCCAGTGGAAAAACTGCTTTGGACACTCTTGAGACTTGAAATGGACATGTAACGAATAAGTCACATGGGGATATAAGTCCCGGCTCACCATATTAGCCTTGTGGACGATTGAAACTGAAAGGATTCAAGCAATGGAGGCGATTGCTGGCTCAACCATCGAACGTGATCTGAAAAATCAAGATTTGCACGAACTAGAGTTACAATTGACAAAACAGTGAATCATTTCGATATAACACCATATCAGCTGTAGCAATGTACTTAAAGTACTTAAATCAATCAGAGGGGGTTTGCAATGTAGGATACCTGGGCTCATCCTCCAAAGAATTGGAAAGAAGTTGTGTGGTCTATTGCAATAATACTCCGCTAATAATGGAATACTATCCCCATAAATATCCCCATTGAAATCCCAATCATTTTCCATAGTATCCCATTGAAATCCCCCTTGCGGTTGGATACTCACCCGATTTATGTCCAAAAAAATGTGACTAAATGGGTCTGTCTGAAGTTAACATATACCCAGCTTAAATATTTAAATGTCCATTTCATGGGGGAAAGTGACAATAATCCACAAAAATCCGTTGATATTGGGGATATCCCCATGTTCAAACCTACAAAAACCCACTCTTCTACTGAAACTGGTGAGTAAAGCCCCGCAGTTTCTGGCACCTCGGAATGGCTTTGGCCAAAGCTTCAATTCCTTCCTCATGGCTGGTCGGGGATCTGATATGGGAATATTGACCAATATATTATTGACCAACAAATATAGAGAAACAATGAGAAACATGCACCAACCATTTCATGAGGATTTAAATATATGGTGCATGAACAACAATAAACAACAATATCTGTTAAAATTGTTAAATGGGATTTTGAGTGCGAGATGCCTGCTGGGGATGCCCAAACATGTTGCACAGATTCGTTTTCGCAAGTGTTATTTAAATCTGTTAAGACGGTTTATATCACTATATGCACATGCAAAGGCAATCCAACCACCAATAATTCAGATCTGCGAATATGGTCTGCGCAGTGATTGAACCAGCAAAAAACTCTTGTCGGTTGAGGTGGATCATCTGAAACCACGATTGAAACCGCCACTAACCAAACGAGTGTGCTTCTCAACCGAGATATTTCACCAAGAAAATAGGACATCGGTCATACAGAAAGAAGGATAGCATACCACCAGCAAACTCAAGGCACAGGAACGGTACATGGAATAGTACCACCAATGAAAGTGATGACAAACAGGAAGCAACAAGGCTCCCCCCAAGTATCTATAGGATATCTGGAGACATCCTGAAACATCCTGAAACCATATCTGGTAGCTTACTGCCAGGAAACAATTTTGCCTCAATGTTTTGGACTCCGTGCTACCACCCGTTTAAAGAAACACCTTTGAACATTGACGGAAAAATGGGGACATGCTTGACATGGGAAAAATCAGGATCGATTCGTTCTCATTGATATTGGCCAATGGCCATTTGTTAGCGCTAACAAATGCTGGGCTTGTGACGTGTTACTGCAAATCACCTGGACAACACCCAATCCAAAAGCCACCATTCTACCGGGAGCCTCGTCCACTTTCTTGGCAGCGAAACCGAAGCGGAGAATCAACCTCTGGAACAGTCGACACCGCGACGTTGGAAGGCCCTGAATGTTGGAAGGCCAATGAAAGAAACACATGTGGTATAGCAATCAACAAATGATAATCGATCTAATATTATATATATCATATATTATATATATTATACATATTATATATATATGTGTGTGTATGAACAAAACAACATATGGATGTGTTTATTAAAAAATGGGGGAAAACGATGCCAAGCAGCGCTTGGAGTTTCTGTGGCAAGGCCGGTGCCAAGGTGATCAAAAACTCGTGGCCTTGGGACATCGACGCTGGCCATGGGAGATGGAACAAAAGGCTGGTGGTGTAGTAATAACCATATGTAAGGCTATATATATATATATACATATATTTCTAATCAATAATTATCTATATATATATATACATATTTCTAATCAATAATTATCTATATATATATATATATACATATTTCTAATCAATATCTATATATGCTTATGATAATGTATCTATAGGGTTATCAATGGAACCACAAAAGGCTGGTTGCAGGTTTTTAGGGTTACATATTTCTCTTGATTATAGGGATACATAATTGATTTATCGGATCCGAAACTGTCCATGTTCAGGAGAGGTTATCGATTTTGAACAACAACCTTTCAAGGGAATTTTGGGAGATGTGAATTCTACTGAAGAATAAGAATCAATTGAAAAATCGTGAAAACTCATACATGCCTTTCTAAAATGATTTATAAAGCTGAGATCGTTTATTTGAGTAGTAGATGGGCAGGTGGAGGTATCAACCATCATAGGTGGTATTGTCTAATGATAGATTAAATATATACCAATGATTATTAAGCATATATCATAATGGGGATACAATATATGTAGTACTACGCGCAAACACCCTGATTCGCCCACACCCCTTTTATACCCTACCATTGGGTTGACTTTACATGCAATTAGGAAGATAATGTCCCACCCCCGTTAAACTTCTACATTCAATGGGGAAGATCAACAAGGGTATTTGGGGAATATTAAACTCCCACCCCCGTTAAACTTTACATTCAATTGGGAAGATCAACAAGGGTATTTGGGGAATATTAAACTCCCACCCCCGTTAAACTTTACATTCAATTGGGAAGATCAACAAGGGTATTTAGGGAATATTAAACTCCCACCCCCGTTAAACTTTACATTCAATTGGGAAGATCAACAACGGTATTTGGGGAATATTAAACTGATGTTGATGTTGATGTTAATGTTAATGTTGTTGATGATGATGATGATGTTCATGTTGATGATGATGATGTTGCTGCGTAAAAGCCGCGCACAGGTCAGGGACCTGTGCGTTGAGACAAACAACTTCAAGTTACCGGTCATGCAAAAAACTCCCATTTTTACCACGTTTTCAGCACGTCGGAAGATGGCCGCCGAAAAGCGCGGGCAAATCAAGGTGTTTGGCCGTAATACTACTATATCATATTCCTCTATAATATTACAAAATAAGTACTAAAACCATTAATTACTATATAATATTACCATATAAAGTCTAAATAATTATATATACTATATCATAATGGATCACAGACATTTCATATATATTACAATATGGGAAAAAATGATATTACATAATATTACTATATAATCAACTATAACTATATATATATACACATATATATATATGACATCCGGCAATGTTATAATAGAGATATATTGGTAAATATGTAAGGAGCTATTATTGGTAATATATATCCCATATTGGCACGCTTACTATAATATTAATATTATTAAAGTCTAGATGCAACTAGATTATATCACAATGGATCATATTATATGTTATTACTATGTATATCATAATATATCATGATTGGTAATATATATATATATATATCCAAATTATGATTGGTACTATACATAATTATATAGTTACATATATATATAGTTACAACCAATAATATATCATCATGGGGGATACGTTTTTCTACACCAGTATATATATATGTATATACCATATGGGGAACGATGATTGGTAATATATGTTACCATAATATACCATAATATCATAATACATCATAATAGTAGAGATATATATATTATATGATATCATGATTGGTAAAATATATATCATATTGCTCCATAATCTATCATTATACCATAATATACCATATTATACCATAATATACCATATATATGTTGAATATTATGGTATAATACCATTATCTACTATAACATACCATTATCATAATATACCATAATACCATAGTAGATATATATACAGTATATATATATAGTAAATATAGTAGATATCGTAATAATACCATAGTAGATATACCATATAATACCATAGTAGATATCATAATTATACCATAGTAGATCTACCATATAGTAATAGTTGATACCATATAGTAATACCATAGTAGATATCATAATTATACCATCTATTATACTATAATATACCATAATATCACATATATATATAAGAATATACATATATAATATAGGATACTATCTGCTCCATATGGATCATATTCTATGTTATTACTATGTATATCATAATATTTCCCAATTATGATTGGTACTATACATAATTATAGTTACATATGTATATATATATATCATATTGCTCCATAATCTATCATTATACCATACTATACCATATTATACCATAATAAACCATATATATGTTGATATAATCCCTTGCTCCATTGCTCCAGGTCGCTGATCTCCGGACACCAGCGGCAGCTCACCTCCAGGCGACGCAGCGCGGCGCTCAAGGCGCTGGACGCCAGGCAGCGGCCGATGGCAACGGCGCAGGCGTCCTGCAACGCCACGGAGCCTGGCGGAGCGTCCTGGGAAGTGATGAGGATATTGATATATGGGATGTATATAGGCTATAAGATCTATATATCAAAAAAATATGATATATATATATATAGTAGTTTTTACATATAATATCTGGTGTTTCCATGTATCTATATATATATATATATGGATGTATAAAAAGTATCATCCTTTGACGTTGGTCACAAACAATGGCCATCTCCACCCCCCCATCTCCGCCGCGGGTGGGCTGTTTTCGCACCTGTGAAGTCCAAGACCAGCTCTTCCCGTTGAGCGGCGCCCAAGATCTCTGGCAGCTGGAGGGCCTGAAAGCTGGGGAAATTTGATGGCAACCTGGAAGTTTTTAGGGTGGATATTGGATGAAAATGATGAAAATATGGTTAGATGATGTTAGATGGTTAGATTGGACTGAAGAAAGAATACAAGTACTCAAGTGTATAAGCATCTCCATCCTCCTCTTTCTGGAGAAGTGTCACCAACGTTCCCAAAATTCCGGCATCATGCATCAAAGTCAGTGACAGCTAACTTGGTAGGAGACACACACATGGTCAAGATCCGCCTTTTTAAGATTTGGACACCCCCAAATGACCGACAGTTTGGGGGTGAAATTCATCCAAGCGATTGTCATTTTGGGCATCCCCAGTTTGAAAAAGGATCTGGGTCACTGGCTGAAGAGCGCCCAAAACTGGGATGGTACACACACCATAGTGACCAATATCCCAACACGGCTCCGTGTTGACAGTGGATTCACACCCCGTGACGCATCATGTCGACCTATTCCTTCTATCCCCATGTTTACCTACGACCTACAAACATCGTGATATTTCATGGTCATCATTCCAGGAAACAGTAGGCAAGAAAAAGAAGTCATTTAAAATCATTTTAAACCATCAACCAGTTATCAACCAGTTATCAACCAGTTATCAACCAGTTATCAACCAGTTATCAACCAGTTATGTAATTCATCAACCCCATCAAGCAGTAATTCAACCGGTAACAAAAACCCACCCATTCGACCACCCAAAAGGCGACTCGCCTCGCCTCCACAATGTCACGCTCCACAGCTTGACGCCAACCTGAACTTGGAGGACTTGGACGATATAAAATCATCCAGGTCATGATCAAACAGTTGCCATATTTGATAAATGGAGCATAGATGAACAGTTTTAAAAAAGCATTCCTTATTTACCCTTTAATGGAACATGTTAGATAAATGATGATAAATGGATCATATTTAAAGGGTAAATAACAAGCCAACATCTGGCCCCTGCACAATGATCAATGACTTGACTAGTAGAGCTACTGTAAGACCATACTGTTCGGATCGGATATTCTCGTAAGTAAGCTCTTCAACCGTAGATTAGGTGCATCCCGTTTAAGTCAGCTACTGAATCTCGAAGTTTCAATTCAAGTGGGTCTGAAAATTGTGGGGAAATCCGAGAATATGCTGGACCATCATTGTACCTACAAGAGATCACCTTTTCAAACCTACCGAAATAATCGTGGTTAAAACATATTGGTTTTTATCCAATAAAACCAATTAGCATCCATTGATACGGATCAATATCCACAAACTCATTCAATTGATACTCGTGAAACTTCATTACCCTTCAGTAGTCACACATAGCAATGGAACATCTATGAAAATCTACCATGCAGTTTGATGATTTTCCCACTAAAACCTCCATTTAGTTTGGGGATTTCCCAGCTAGCCACATTTGATGACACCGGAATGCAATATCCACTAATCTTCCAATACTATTCCATTGCTATTCCATGAAACATTACTAGTCCAGGATTATATTCCATTAGCAGTCCATGAATATTCCATAAATGTTCCATCAACAATCCCTCTAAAACACCGCCATTTTATGCTGGTCAGATCCCCATTTCACCACCTGGCCTGACACTGCAAAGATGCCGCGCAGGGTTTGATTCACCCTGTGGTAACCTCAACAAAAAGAACCGGGAATGACAAGCCATGGGGCGTAGAGATTTTAACCGACAAAACTGGGGTATAACGGTATAAGCCACAAGAATGGGGATTCAATGAGATACTGTATATCATTGTATATCTAGAACCATAATGATATGATAACTGAAAATGGCGAATGTATACCCCCAGTTAAAAGGCAAATGATGTGAAAGTGGCGGATTTTGAAGGGATACTGGTGATTAACCAATTCAAGGGTAACCGAATTCGCCAACAAAACAAACAAAATGTTTTGGGAACGATGGTCTGCCACCCCAACAAGTGATAGTCCAGCTATGTAGGAGTGATAATCCAGCAAGGTCCACCAATCATGATTCATAACCCAATTACTTGGATTTGCTGAAAGAACCCCCAGAAATAAAGCATATTCCCTATAGATTCCCCAAGTAGTGTTGTATTTCCCAGAAAATATGCCAAATCACCTGCAACAACCCCATGACTATGCTTGATCTACATTCACAATTGTCGTGAATTGTGGTTAATCAATGTTCATCATGATTCATAGCCACATTGCTAGTGGTTAAATCACTATTATGATACCCATTATGATTCTTGTTAATATCTTATGTATGGGTAATGATCGGTAATCATTGGCATATTAATAATCTTATTACCAATGTATTACCATATAGTGATCATTACCATTATTCCACATTAATATCTTATCTGGGTAAATTACAATATGTCACTAACCTGAATTGTTGGGCCATTTGGGGATGATTTCCCGCAATCTAACCATGATTCCCAGTGAGGGAGGACAGTGAGGTCGTGATGAAATTTACCCAGAGGAATGGATACCCTCTGGTAAACTAACATAGCTATTGGAAATCACCATTTTTAATGGGAAAACTCACTATAAATGGCCATTTTCAATAGCAAACTGTTAAATTACCAGAGGGTATGTTAATCCAATGTACCCAGATGTATTGGACCACGATCTGCTGTTTGGCGCCACATTTCCGTTGACGAGGCACTGGGATCCTCCGCCAGCGGCTCCTCGTCCAAAGCACGTCCAGCGATGCAGTTCAAGATGTGTCGACGGTCGTCCTCCATACTTGCCTGGCCAATGGTTTTTTTTGTGTGGAAAAAAGTGTGGAAAAAATGATCGGGGGCCGATAAAAGGTTAACTGTTCATGTTTTTTGGTGGCCGAAATACCATAAATACCCAATATATATATATATATATATCTGAAATGATTGATGGTTTGTTCAGACTGCTAATGGAATACTACTGGACTAGTAAATGGAATAAATTAATATTAATACTCCAATGCTAATACTGAGTTGTATGCTGCTGTATGCTCTTCTGTCTAACGCAGTTCTTCGAATCATCTTTGAGGGTGGAATCTTGGGGGTGCTCTGCAGACTACATCACGATACGCACATTAACCTGTATACCTACTATGCTATATCATATATATCTATAGATATGTACTGTATATATATATAAACTAATATGAATTATATGAATATATTTGTCCTTCTATATAGACCATTATTCTACGTTGGTAGGTTATAAACAGCTATTTACACAATTCGTTATGACTCAATATAACCTATGAATAATCCGATGAAAAGACATGAAAATCATCCCATGACAATGATGATCATCCTTCATATTTTCACAGCCCCCAGAAACACCAGCAATGGTGCTGTTTCCGCCTGCGCTTTCTCCAGCTCCAAGGTAAGCCCTGCTCGGAGAACCTGCGACACACGTGAGCTTCAAATGGCTCTTGAAAGGCCATGAAACTCTGCTATGAATCCAGTGACAGAGACATCCAGGGGTACAATATATGTACATAAATGTATATATATATATACATGTGTGCGACAACCCATCAAATTTAAAGCGTCCATCTCATTTGTCTCTAGGTTGTTTTGTTTATTAAGATCAAAGACAGGAATTTCACCCAATGTTGCCGAAAAGTCTGACAGCATGCAGCCCCGAGTCATCGGCCATGCCTAGAAATCCACTATCTATAGATGATTTTTCATATATCATTTATAGACATTTATAGTTGATCTAAACATATTTAAACATATGACAAATATTAAAAAAACGTTTTAAACCTCCACATTTGGGGATTTCCATCTTTAAAAACGTGGCTTCTGAGATTCTACGGTGTTCTCGGCACCTCCAAGGGAAAGGATTTCTCGCGGTCGCTCCTCACCTTGCCCGCTGGAAAGCCTGAGGCGCGCTGCAGGGCACATGGCAAAACGTGAGTAACATATTCATGAATATTAATGAATGGGATTTAATGGGATTTAATGGGATTCTATATGATGGGATTTAATTCACAATGATTAATCAATAATATGATTCATGATGATTCTACTCACCATAACCGGTTTGATAACTGAGCATCACCGAACATTCCTCAGAGGATTTGTCCGGTTTGATGATGGATGCGATATTATCCACAAGAGATCAGCGCCTACAGACCCTGGAGAAGTTCTAAAGCCCCATTGTGAAGCTTGAACCATCCTCGTCTGGGGATGGTTTTTTTGGAGGGCCTCCCCCATTAGCGTCAGAAAGAATAACAAAAATGATACAAAGCTTGGGGATAATCATGGATAATCTATGATAATCCTTGGATCATTAAAAATTATCTACCAGAATATCATAATTTCTGGTAAACTTTCACATAACTATATTAACTATAGAAAATCACCATTTTGAATAGGTAAATATCAACTATTTCTATGGTCATTACCAGAGGGTTACCAGAGGGATGATCCACAGATTTTCGATGGGGCCATTTTTGACAAAACCAATAACCATAACTGGTGGTTTTTATAGATAATTTAGCCATTTACCAAAATGTGACCTTAAATATTGAAAGATATTGAAAGGTGTTTCAATCATACCAAGAGGATTGTTGGGTTTTGCCACATTGTTGGTGTTTCATTCGCCATTTTACACCATTTTACGGCCTGCGCCGAGTCGACGTGCACCCTCCTCGTCGGCCAGGGCAACCTGAGGGCGCAATAATGGGCGCTGTGTCAACTGGGGAGATTTTGGTGATGAAAATGATGGTTTTGTATGGTTTTATAGTGATTAGGTCGTAGTGTATATTGGGACCTTATGGGTCCACCAAAAACTGGCCTTGCATTGCTGGATGAACATTGGATATCGGGAATTTGTGGTCCCCAAAAAATGGTTTATGAGAAGAAGTGTGTTAAATAAATGATTAAATTCAGTCGTTAGGTGGTAAAATATACGGCTAAAAGTATGGTTTAATCCAAACATGCTTAGTTTTGAATGTCAAAAATATGTGGCTCAAATATGGTAAAAGGTTTCGATTTGTATATATATATATACACACCATGTCAAATTATTTCTATACCGTTTTTTAAACATAAATGCAGTTGAAATATCGGAAATGAATTGTGTCATTGGTTCATTGGTTCTTCTGGTTCAGATGGGGATTCATCACGATTCAGCTAGCTGGAAGCTGTGATGTGATGTCCAGGAGACCTCCTAGCCAACCACAACCCAATTGCTGAACGGAACATGAAAACAGGCTTTTTTTAGCTCGGTACTCGGTTATAATAGTAAATAACAGTAATAGTGAACTTCAATAGAATTGAACAATAAAATAAACCATTCAAAAACACCAATCATATAATAATCGTCAATAGTAAAACCTGGAATATAGGATCATCCATAATAAACCACAATAAACTACAATAAACCATGATAAACCATCAGAAATCATGAAATTTCCCAGGAAATTCCCCCACTGAGTTCCCGGGACGCCGTCCGTCAACAGCTGCGGCGTCCCCTTCTCCGCCGCCGCGATGTCCAGCAGCAGCCGAGGCGGGCGCCCGGCGTCAACGCCACGAACCTCAGCTACAAGAAAAGTAGGGCCACAATATGGTAATCTAATGGGATTTAATGGGATTTTATGGTGGTTTAATGGGATCTAATGGGTTTTATCCTCTGGTAAACGATCAATGGGAAAATCCACTATTTCTATGGCAATTTTCAATAGAAATTGTCTATTCCAAAGAATTCCAGATACAGTGCTAACATGTGCTAACATGTGCTAAGTTCTGAATAATATTCCCTTCTGCAAGAATGGCGAAGCAAGAAACATGGTCATGGCTCAAAAATCAGGTACAAAATTCAAAAGGGATACACAAATTGTTGGTCATGTGAAGAGTATGACCCCCTCTTCAAACCTTTGAGCCACAACTGCATCCGCCAGTTCAAAATCATGGGTCCGATCAGTTTTAGTGACCCAGAGGCATAAGTTTACAATGAGGATGTTGTGAATAGAAATAGAAAGTGGATAGATTCCTAGCAGTAATTAGAGGGCTCCAAAAACCAGACATGTTTTCCAGAATGCAAAATTCGAATTGTAGAGATGACGTTTCTCTCAGAATTTCCAGGTTCACGACCAATGAAAAATTGGAGACATCGCTGTATCTATAATGGCGAATCATAGCGGAATTATATTGCCATTGAACACCCAAGATGTTTTTACCCCAAAACATCAGCTGAATCACGGTGTCTTTCAATGGCTTTTTCAGGTTTTTTCATGTCATCATTTGCAAATCATTTCCATTTTGAGTCACTTCCATTTGATTTCGCTCACCCAGGCTGGGATGTCACACTCTTCGAAGGCGCACCAAATCCTGCCATTGAGAGTCTGATCAATGCTATGAGCTGCTTCAAAGGTTCTATTCTAAATATTCTACGTGGTATGATGAGTCAAATATGTCTAAGCTCATATTAAAGTATTCATTCAAAGGTTTCATTCGAAGTGGACAAACTAGTCAATGACCTCAGAGTCCAAGTAGTTGACAAAGCAGTCTTTGGAACCTTCCAACCTCCAAAACAGAGTGCTTGAAGTGGAAGACTGGATGGAAAATCATGGTTTGAAGAAATCAAGGGAACTTTTCAAGTGAAATCGGATGAATTATATGTAACATATATATATATATACGTAGAGATTCTCCCTCAAAACCTGTATAGGGGGGGATCTGGCAAGCGAAACATGTATACATAACAAGCCAGCACCAACAGGTGCAAATTGTCTTACAAGAAACACGACAACTGTATTTTGCCCGTCTTTAGATCATGCAGAACTGCCAGAGTCTATGCCAAACAGCTCCAATTCTCCTTTTGGTGCTTTTAACCACTGAAATTCTTACATGTTGGATCTTGATTTCACCAAATTTGTCCCATGGTTTATCATCATTCCATAATATTCCATATGTTCCAATATTTTCTAGATATTTTCATATATTTTCTATATATGTTCCCACATATTTTTCTATTTCACCATTGGTTTCACAGGTTTCACAGGTTTCACTCCCCACCTGGTGAAGGGTGTGGCGGGGCCCGAAGATTCTGTGGCTTCATCCAAGATCAGGAGGACCTCGGCTGTGTCATCCCAAGATGATGTTTCTGATTTTTGTATGATTTATATGGTGATTTATTTATATGATTTATATGATTTATATGATTTATCTTTGTTTCTGGTGAAGAATCATAGTGGGGTTTTGTGATTAAAAATTATGAAGAACACATTTATTGATGATGTTTAACAGTTTAACTCCCTGATTTTCATCAGATTGATTTCTATGATTTATACATTGATTTATTGATTTGACCATGAAAATCATGGGATGTAATGGGCGGGGCCTGATAGAACTTGTTGTGCTTCAAGCAACAAAAAAGGTGGGGGTTGTCCATAATTGTCATAATTTGACTGGTAGTTACCCTCTGGTAATTTAACAGTTTGCTATTGAAAATGGCAATTTATAGTGGATTTTCCCATTAATAGCATGGTGATTTTCCATAGTTATGTGAAAGTTTACCAGAGGGTATGTGGAATTCACCAAATAATTACTAGGCCATGTTCCTCTAAGGAGGTAGGTTGACTCCTGGTGATCCATTTCATACTGAGGGCCGCATTCCTCAACGTGTAAACAATGGTCTCCAATTTAGGAACATCCAAATGAACACCCAACAAGACCCGTATACCAAATATCATCGTGTTCTTTGATATCCTTTTAAAGCACCTGGCCCACTATACCAGTTTACCACCAAAAAGTGAAGTGTAATCCAACCATGTGGAAATAGAAGGACCCCAATACTACCACTTCCCCGTTTGTTTTCCTTCAACAAACTTCGAAAACCGTAGAAATCACAGGCGCCTTCCAGGTGAAACACCACATGAGGTCTCCAACCCGGGAAAAAACACACCAGCTAGCCCTTGGATGTGCATCTCAGTTCATAAGTGGCTAATATTAATAATCTAATAATTTAGTATTATACCCATATATATATATATATTAGCCACTTATAATCTAATTAATAATCTAATAATTTAGTAACTAATTATATATGTCAAACATATTATACCCATAGATAACCATAGTATAACCGTATAAGCCATTGATATTATCAGTGAGAAAAAAAAACAGTTATGAAAAATGGGTCATTCACCACCACTAGGTTCACAAGCCCCTCATCCGTACCTGGCTGCTTCCCAGCGACACCTTCACTGAGATTCAGCGCGCGAAAAAAACTGGTCTCTCTGGGATCCGCAGCCACCTCCTGATGCGGAAAAAAACATGGATGAGCACGTTGGGCGCGCTTAAGATATGTATTATATATATATACTGATATGATAAATATTTATCAATGTAGATATCCATGGATGTGTGTCTACATATACTTTTTGTTCCATCATATCAGCAGTGGAAAGTATGCCCTTAAATTGGATGTCAGTAGATGGGCACTGTTCCGTCCTGGCTCAGGGCATGCTGCCGATTTGCATAGGCGCAAACCTGGGCACAGCTACAGGTTATCATGGCTTATCATGGTGCAGTCCATCATATTGTATACATATTATCTATATATAATATATATATGCTTATGATTGAGTATGCATTCTTAGAACTGTATGTGTATAATTGTGCTATTATACTTAATATGTTACTATACAATATTCGATGATTACATATGACATGTATACATATGTCATATGTATATACATGTATACATGCATATATATATATATATGTATGTATGTATACATGTTTACGGGTTAAAACAGTGGTACCCTGCTGGCCATACCAAAATAGCTGGAAATGTATGTTCGTCCACCAAAAAATGGTCCCATAGCTATATGAGAAAAACATGATCTATCAGGGAAATCAATACCTCAATCACAAGGGTTATCGTATGTACCAGCTGAATCAATCTAATTCAGGTGAAACGGACCAGCCTGAAACTGCCAAACAACGCTGGAATCACCAAACAACATTAGGATATGGACCTCAATGGGATGGTACAAGACTAGATGGAACCTGCGCAGAGGTGTCACCAATAAGAATCGGATGGTTTTAACTTATCTCAACGATATGTTTGTCATTTTACCCTCTGGTAATGACTAACAGTTTGCTATTGAAAATGGCCATTTATAGTGAATTGTCCCATTAAACATGGTGATTTTCCATAGTTCTGTTAGTTTACCAGAGGGTATCACCTGTAGGGCCTGAGAGGAGACAATGACCAGGCTAAACGCCTCCATCACACTTGACTTCAGTATCGCAGATGAGATAACCTTTGTCACTTTGCGATTGCTGCGTCAGTTAACGCTCGGACTACTGGCTGTGCATGTGGTGGAAGTCTGGCTGTACAATGTCTCCATCCACCAAATCATTGCAACTTAATTCTTGCAGGTCCCTCGGCAACTCTGTCCAATTTGAGACTAATTGGCGCTCTGTCAAAAACCGGGACACTGCAATCGCAATGGTTTTGTTCATGCAAGCTGGGTATATCTTTGCCCGTGCTGTTGCAAAAGTACCATTGCTTTGAATTCCCTTCAAAGGCAAGTGGCCAGAAGGGTGATGGCACCTCCCTCCTTGTCCCCTGGTAAGTGTGATGTCTCTAAACGTGCTCAATCGCAACAAAAGCAATGTAGTGGGCTTGGTCGCATTCAGTCCATACACGCATTGATCGAAAGAGCATATCTGAAAGCATTCTAATCTGGCCATTGCTCTCAGGGCCTTCAATGTCCAGATAGACGCTGGTCGCTTTCGAGCAAGCCACAGCGGATACTGAGGATGTTCGAGAAATCCACACAAACCAAGTTGGGATGCCAACACCAGGAGCTCCACCAAGAACTGTATGAGCTTAGTTCCAGTCAGGACTTGAGTCCACTGCTTAGATGTAAGACCAGTCATGCCCCATGGGCAGTCAAAAGAACGAACAGGGGGGGGGCCACCTGGGCAGTGGCGTGCTGCTGACCATGTTTCGCAGCTGGGCCCCCCCCCTATTCCAATGACTTGACCTGACTTCATCTTCTCCGTCCAAAACTGCTTTGATTGTTCATCTGTAAGATCAGAGTGTTCTTTAGCCAAGCATAGATCTACTGAAAGGCAGAATAAATGCTTTTCTCCAATGATTTCCTGGCTCTCAATGCAGTGTTGCAAATCATCAGCACGTCTGAATCCACTAAAAAAGTGTATAAAAAGGAAACCTTTGACATGAAGTCTCGCGGTTTCTGCTGCAAGATCGTACTGTTGGAAAATGCCTGCTTCCCCAGGAACCCTACCACCATTGGACTGGAAAAGAAACGGAACAATTTCTGTCTCATCGGCACATTGAATAGGTGAGTGCTCACAGAAGCCATCTAAACCTTCATATGCTCGACCAACAACCGAAACACGACATTGCCACTTGGCTTTCATCGCGGCGGCACCATCTGTTCCACTCTCGGGTAACATCGGGCCATGCACTCTGGTCATCGGGAGGAAGGCTTTCGTCGGATGCCACCCTTGCTGCTTCAAAGCCCTGGCCTGTTCTCTCTCTTCCTGTTCCACTTGCTGCACATCTTCTTCCGAAGCAGGAACAAAACAAGCAAGATATGAATCTTTACATTGGTGAGAGTGACCTACGTGGGCAAGCAAACGACAACGACTGAAGAATTTTTTGCCACATGCAAGACATTCATCTCCCAGGACAAAATACTTCAAAATTGTACGATATTGATGTTTGTGCCTTGCGTGCACAGAAAGTGCCTTTTTACTGTCAAACGTATCACAGCAAAGATTACACTTCCATCTCTTGTTCGGGCATTCATCTCTTGGGATGGATATCTCAGCAAACCTTTCAATCTGACGACAAATCCGGCCTGTCCACAGCTTGCCTTGAGCACGGGCTTGATTGAACTGAAGACAGGACTTGAGAGCGGATCTGACATGTCCGTTCCATCTAGAATCCAGCGCCACAACCTGCAACATATCTGAAACCTCACAGCATTCAGGAATTGTGCCTGGACGGAGGTGCAACCGCAACCATTCAAAGGAACGGATTAAATGAGGGATCCATGAGTTGGAGTGCTGATTGTCGATGAGCAGAGTCCACAGTGCACCTGGGGCATTACCGATTGCACGTCGTACATACCGTAACCTGTTGGCATGCATGAGATCTGTCGGGGCATTCAAGCCAACCAATGCACACAGTTCAGCTGTGGAAAATTGAAAAGGTGGAAGCGGTCGAATCTTGTTCCTTGCGAGAGCCGCAACTTGAGCTTTCACCCCGTTCTCCCAACAATCAATGTCATGATCTGTTATCCAGGACCAGGTGTGCACGTTGTAGGTCAAACGAGACATCACCAATGAAGAAAAAACAGAACTTTTTGTCTGCTCATTGACATTCCTTTTACAGTAAAATGGCTTGCTGAGTTGCCCATATGCTTTTCTGGCTTGTGATATCCGATGGCGTACATCTTTTTGCACAACTGCGTGATCTTGTACAAAAGAACCCAAGTGCTTGTAAGAGTGAACGACTCTCAACTGCTGAGTGGCTGTCTCTGTAACCACTGGCAACAAGCCTCCACATTCATGCCAGACCTTGTGCCGCACAGCTTTTGATCCAATCCCAGCAAGCTTCAAGATTGCCTCTGTTTTGCCTGCTTGGTAGTTGATTCCTAAACCGCGACTTGCTGCAGCATCGTGGAGGCATGATGCTGTGATTTGGAGACATGAAACCAAGTTCTCAGCATCATTCGAGTGAATCGCATATGCAATGTCATCCACGAATGTGATTTCAGCAAACCCTCTGTCAGCAATGGGCACTGGACACGTGATGTCATCAGCTGGCTTGGGTGACCCAAAACAAGGCATTTGAGTGGCGGCCTTAATTTTGAGCCTTGCATCGAGGACAACAAGCTTGAATGCCATATTGAAGAGAATGTCCGCAACAGGGTCCCCGGGTCTGGTACCCTTTGTTGTCGCGGTCTTGTCTTTCACTCTGTGCATAGTGAAATGGGTACCTGAAAACATATCCCTTAGGATCCCTTCAGAATGTGACTCCAGGCCATTTGTTGCATTGTCTAGACTGACACATTGCCTGATGTCCTGCCAGTCAACCGGAGTAATACCAAGTTGCTTCATTGCATAGCAAATCGTATCATCATGAAACTCTCCAGGAAACAATGACGACCTCAGAATAGAGTAAAATGCAGATTGCAAATCAACAAATAGAGTCCCACACGAGACATTTCTGCTTCTAGCCCATGACAAATGCGCATGAAGGAAATGATGAGCCACATCCGTTGAGCAACCCTTCCGGCCTCCCATCTGAATAAGCTCATTGTCACGACACCATGCATCTGTCAGTTCATTTCTTACATGGGCATGATGCACCTTCGCACAAATGTCTGATAGAAAGATCGAGCGATACGCAGAGGGTTCCGTGGGTGATCCTTTCCCTTTAAATAACGGGATGAGAATCCCCCCTTTCCAAGACAATGGTTCACGCATATGCCATGATGCTTTGACAAAGAGAGGAGTCAGGATCTTGGCAATCTCAATTCCTCCGCATTTCAAAATATCAACTGGCAACTGTCCTGGGCCTGGAACCTTGCCATTCTTGAATTTTCGGATCACGGCAAGTGTTTCACATGGATCAAGGCAGTGCTTTGCATCTCGAGCTCCATCCTCATTACCATGCAGATGAAGCTGAGACAGTTGCAAATCTGAGACTTGGATCCCTGCCTCAATGATGGCGAATTGCTCCCTCCATGTTGCTTGGCATTCTTCAAAGGACTGCGCAACCCTGTCCTCTGAAATACGAAGCTTTGGCAAAGGCCGGGGGCCTTTTTCCAAGCTCTTTTTGCGTCTGCCAAGCCTTTGCAACTTCTTGTAGACAAGGGCTGTGTCAAAACGTTCACTGGCATCATTGATTCCCTCTAACCACTTTGCATACCATTCTTGTTGATCCCTTACAATCATGGGACGCAAGACCTTTTCGATGGCCTTCAACTCTTGCAAAAGCAACGGGTCATGAAAATCTTGCTTTCTCAGCATTTCAAGCATTTGCCTCTTCAACTGTATACCACAAATTGTGCTCGGCTGCAACACTGGTCTTGATTTTTCATTTTTACGCTTGCCAAAATGTTGCTGGGCCAGCTGCAACAAATTAGTTTCAACGATGGCTGAGTGATCATCGATGGAAGTCGACCATGTCGGAATTGGAAAGGTCTGAAGAGCTTCAACGAACTTTTTCTGGGCTTCAACATCATGAATCTTGTGAAAATCCCATTTAATATTGTTGCCGCATTCTTCAACGACCATGATTCCGTCTAAAACCCCAACAGCCGGGCTATGGTCAGCATGACAGAAACCGCCATCAAAGTCCGACATGACATATGATCTCGTGCAAACTGAGAAAAAAGATTTCCCAAGAAGCACATAATCCCTTCGTAGACGATCTCCTCGAGGGTGTCGCCATGTGGCACCATGCCCTGTGTGACTTGAAAACGTGGCAGGTACATACA